AATGTCTTAAAGACATAAAGAAATAATCTGACTTTCAGTGATCAACAGTTTCTGCAAAATCAACTTAAAGCTAACCTTCCAGCGGTGCCTTAAGTTGCCTTACAGAGGATAAGTTTAGTGCCCCGAGCTCACAGCTGCGATCTGGCCACCCTGAAACCACCGCTCTGATCGCTAGTGGCTGTGAGGGGAGACGAGTGGCTTTCCTCTCATTACTCATCAGCTGTGTTTGTCTGATTACAGATGCACCAGTCCAGGCTGCAGCTTATGCAGCTCCAGCAGCACGCTCAGGCCCAGGCTCAAGCCCAAGCTCAAGCCCAAGCCCAGGCTCAGGCCCAGGCTCAGGCCCAGGCCCAGTCCATCCAGCAGATGGTGCAGCAGCAGCAGGTCCAGGCTCAGACTCAGCCGGTTCAGATGCCTCCTCACTCCCAGCAGCAGCAGCAGCAGTCGGGCATGGTGTCTCAGTCTCTGGCCGGACAGATGCCATCCCAGCACGTCTCTCTGAACCAGCAGCAGCAGAGGCTGCAGGCCTTCCAGGTGAGACAGAACTGCAGGTTTGGTTCTGTAACTCCGACTGAATCACAGCCAGACAGTCGGTGTCTCAGCGTTCAAAGTCCAAATCAAGTCAGAGAAATTGTTTTTAAGATTGTAATTCATAACATAAGTTAGCACAGTTTCACTCAGTGCTGTCATTTAAAAAACTGGACGCCTGAAAAAGCAGCGAATCAGATTTTCAAAGTAAAACAGGAAGTCTGCAATGAAAATCCGACCAGAGGCTGTGATCAGTCTGCAGTTCCTGCTCCAGTGGTCTGAATTTTCTCAGTGCTCCCTTCCTCTGCTTGCATGCTTTGCTATGTGTGTGTGTGTGAGAACAGGCCCGTGCAGCCTTGCAGCAGCAGCAGCAGCAGCAGGCAGCGCAGCAAGCTCAGCAGGCCGCAGCGCAAGCACAGCTCAACGCAGCCGCCGCTGCAGCCGCCATGCCGGGACAGGTGAGGACGCCGCCACAAACTCAGGTTCATCAGCTCTGAGTTATTTAGACGATCAGACAAACGGCAGGAGATTGTAGAGCAGGTGTCGGGAGTACGCTTCACGGCAGCAGAAACAGGAAACTCAAAATGACAGGTTCGCCTGCTCCGGGGCGACCGCTTCCTGTTAACTGTAGGTTAAACTGTCCACACCTGATATTCTCACTGCTCAAGTCACAAAGCTGAACCTGCAGGAACATCTGAGCTGGTCCTCACAGGTGTAGAAAGACGGAGGTCTCACCTGTCCTCTCTGCTCACCTGTGCTTTGTTTCTTCTGAAGCTGGTTCGTCCTGGGATGCAGATTCCAGCCCGGCTACCTCGAGCACCTCTGAACCCCATCCCTCCTCAAAACGCCACCACCGCTGCAGCTGGCGTGGTGGGAGTGCAGGCCATGACACCGCAGGTATTTATCCCCAGTGTGACCTCTGACCTTCACCTGCTCGTCCTCATGTTTCTTCAGTCTGAAGCAGCTTCATGAGGTGGAGACAGTTTCTAACGACCTCATGGAGCTGCTTCACGCACACAAACATCGTGCCTTCCCCTCTGTGCTCTGATTGGCTAGTTTGTCTTTCCTTGTCTGTCCAATCACCTCGAGCAGATGTCATCGCCCTCACCGGTGCAGGTCCCGACTCCTCAGTCGATGCCGCCTCCTCCGCAGCCGTCACCCCAACCCCCGACCTCACAGCCCAACTCGGCCAGGTACGTCCAGTAAATAGACCACACCGCTGACCTTTCAGGACAGCAGTGGGTCAGCCAGTCGTCAGCCTCTGGCTGAGGCGAGTTCAGATTCACGTCTGCGTCTGGTTTCTGACCCGCTCGGTGTCACAGGACAGAATCGGCGCAGGTTACATGTCTGTCAGCGAGTCTAACTCCTTCTGGCTCCTCCCACAGCTCCGGTCCCACTCCGTCTCCGGGGGGTTTCCAGCCCAGCCCGTCTCCTCAGCCGTCGCCGAGCCCCGCCAACTCCAGAACCCCCCAGAACTACGGCGTGCCCTCCCCCGGGCCACTCAGTACTCCAGGTAACCCCACAAACATCTGGAAGGAACTTTTCACAGAGCTCAGAATAACGTGAACGCAGCAGCTCCGTCACGCTCGCTGACCACGCCGCTGAGCGGCGCAGTCGTGTGCACCTCGATCACAGCTACACACACACTGAGGTCAGAGAAGGTGAAACACACGTCTGTTTTCCCTCCTCAGAGTTTCACCGGCTTTTATTGTGAAACTTTCAGTGAACCCGAGCTCGGTGATGAGTCCGGCGGGGCCCACGTCTCTGGAGGACCAGCAGTACATGGAGAAGCTCAAACAGCTCTCCAAGTACATCGAGCCGCTGCGCCGCATGATCAACAAGATCGACAAAAACGAAGGTGAGCCGCTCGCCTCGCTGACATCACAACCTCCTTCCGAGGCGCCACAGCACACACATGCACGGGTTCCCAAACTGAGGTTCGTGGAGTTCATCTTTGGTAATGGTACACTTGGAGATTTAAAGGATAACTCCTCCTCTTACTAAAGAAACGAAAGCACGATGATCATGACTGGAAGAGTCGGAAAGGAAAAATGTTCTGATAGGAAACATGAACAGGAAGACGATGTCGAGGTAGGAAGTGGAGGGGAAGCGAGGAGCTCATGATTAGAAGGGCAGTCATGTGACACGACGTGAGGAGAAGAAGAAACACATGATCGAGTCGTTCATGTTGATGATGTTCAAACATGAGTCCACTGCAAAGTCACAGAATCAGCAGATCGCTCGAAAGAAGGGAAACTTCTGCTCCTGAACAGGGATGCGTATCGTTTAGGTTTGATCCGGTCCCCGTCCTGAACGCATCCACGCGTGGTTAAAGTTCAGCTGCTTTCTTCTGTGTTTTCAGACAGGAAGAAGGACCTGAGTAAGATGAAGAGCTTGCTGAACATCCTGACCGACCCCAGCACCAGGTGGGATTCATTCCTTTCAGGTTCGATTTGTGCGTGAAACAATCCAAACTCGGCTGACGTGGTTAGCCGCCTCCACCCAGAGCCTGCTCCACGTCTTCGCATCAGACACTAGGAGTCCGGCGTTTTCCAGCTGTGGTCGCGTGATCACAGCTGGAAAACACAAACACTGTAGATATGGGAAGTGATGTCAGCCACGCCTCCAAGCTCACAGCTGAAGCTGCTGCTCCTCGCTACACTTCCTGACCTCCTTTTCCTGACCTTTGACCTATAGGTGTCCCCTGAAGACGCTGCAGAAATGTGAGATCGCTTTGGAGAAGCTGAAGAACGACATGGCGGTGGTAAGGCGAGCGCCTCCTCTCATTTCTAATCTTCAGAGGGTCGACGCCAGTCTGAGCCTCTGTTTGTGTTTCCTGTCCTTTCAGCCGACGCCCCCTCCCCCGCCCGTGGCCACCAACAAACAGTACCTGTGTCAGCCGCTGCTGGACGCCGTCATGGCCAACATCCGCTCGCCCGTCTTCAACCACTCCCTCTACCGATCCTTCGCCCCCGCCATGAGTGCCATCCACGGACCACCCATCATGTAGGTACCACACACACGTCGCGCTACACTTTACAGGTCAGAGGTCATATTCACAGCGTCGCATCCTCCTCAGGGGGCCGAACATCTCCGGGCGCAAGAGGAAGCACGAGGACGACGAGCGGCAGACGATCCCCAACATCCTGCAGGGCGAGGTGGCGCGCCTCGACGTCAAGTTCCTCGTCAACCTCGACCCCGCGTACTGCAGCAACAACGGCACCGTGCACCTCATCTGCAAGCTGGGTGAGAACGCCGCCCCCCACTGCTCCGCCCACTGCTCCGCCCACTTCAGATCACACAGTGAAACCTTATTGGTGTTTGATTTTTCTTTCAGACGATAAAAACCTTCCCAGCGTTCCTCCGCTGCAGCTCAGTGTTCCCGCCGATTATCCCGACCAGAGTCCGCACTGGGCCGATGACGGAGAGCAATACGGTAAGACACGCCCACCACCGCCATCTTTCATCACCCAATAGAGCCGCACATCCACAGAGACGTCCACAGGCTCAATAAAAGTATTAATAAACAAAATGCAGATAAATAGGTGAAAACACTCTTAAAAGCATAAATTCACAAAAGTCTAAATTAGAGCAGGAAATAAGAGCGTTTGTGAGGGGCAGCCAATCAGGATGCCACACAGAGGCGTGGCCTTGAAGAGGGAGGATAGAGTCAGAGTAGAAACGTTTCTATCAGATGGCCGTCGGACATTTAAAGTGTTTTTGTCTTCAAACTTAAATCTGGGAACGTGTGGTGATGACATCATCGACTGCGTGCGTTTCAGGTGCGAACAGCTTCCTGCAGACAGTTCACAGGAACATGACGTCCAAACTGCTGCAGCTGCCCGACAAACACTCGGTGACCGAGCTGCTCAACACCTGGGCTCGCAGCGTCCAGCAGGCTTGCCTGTCTGCAGCCTGAGACCCCGCCCACTGCTCCCCGTGCATGCTGGGTGAGACCTGCAGATGGGCGTCATCAGAGCCGAAACCCATTACCGATTTCTCTGCTGCTCCTTGAATGCGTCATGAGTCTGTTTCTGTTAGTTTAAATAAAGTTTTAGTCCCTGTTTTGTATGACGTCTTTTTGTATTAAATAAAATGTGTTCACTTCAGTCCAATCAGCTGTTTTCTGTTTACCTGCTGCAGGTGTGAACACACACCTGTCAATCAGCCGTTTACTTCCTGTTCACTCACAGGTTCATCTGTGTCAGTGAAAGAGGCGGAGTTTCCAGCATGTGACTAATCAGAAACAAACCGGTGAACTGACAGCAGAGTGTGCGTGTGTGCTGTGTTAATAAAGTTTATCTAAAAGCTTTCGTAGGAGCGTCACAGCGCTGATTTCAGTTGGGAACACTTTCATGAGCGCACACCTGTGATCAGAACATCAAAGTTCAATTGTTCATCACAGGGTGGGCTCTTCGCTGGTTGGTTTAACCAATCAGAGCTCAGCTGGTGAAGAAGAGTGAAGCGTGGTGTGCTTTTATTTTCATATGTTTATTCTTTAAAGAAGCTCACAGACAGCTGATACAAAACGCCCAAAAACAAATAAAAACATGGAAAATGAACAGACAGTTTATCGTGCGTGGGGTCTCATGAAGTTCGGAGTTCAGAATCTGAGGGAGAACGCTCTGTAGGACAGGTTGGTGAACACGTCGATACGGTCGCTGCTGCCGCCGACCGTCAGCACCTGAAACACACGACACGTTCACTAACACTGGGGGGGAAAAACCTGACGTCGTTCTGTCTTCATTCACATCCTCTCTCTTCTGGCCACACCCCTTGCTGACTTTTAATGTGTAGGATGTTCCGGTTGTCTTCTCCAGCTTCAACCAATCAGCACTGAGCCACATTGTACTGTCCCGCCGTGTTTGCACACGCTCAGTTTGTCACGGCTCAGGTGTGATATGTGGACTTTTGAAATAGCGAAGTGTGAAACGCGTTAAACTTCACTCGTGAACCTGTCGTGTCATGTGACCTCCGTGTTTGCGTGAGGATGTGCGTGCTGCATTCAGGGTCTCACCCGGTGCTCGGTGCTGTTGTTGTTGAGCTGCAGCGTGTTCAGGCTCTGTGGCGTGCAGGGAATCTGAGCTTTGACCTCGCCGCCCAGCAGGCAGTGCGACACGAACGCACCTTCACCCACCGTTAGGATCTACAGGAAATGCATCACAGGAAGTGAACCAGAGCGAGCACCGGCACAGATGGACAAACACTGACTGAAGCGTCTTCCTCACCAAGTCCTGATGGAAGGTGGACTGTCGTTGGCACCCGCTCAGGTTAAAGATGGAGGTCGGTGACAGCGAGCGGAGGTGCCACAGAGACAGAGACGGTCCGCCGCCGCACAGCTGTGAGAACAGGAAGTCAGACATGTTCAGAATCTTACACATCTGGAATCTAAGGAAACATCTGTAAAAACAACAAACCTCAGAACAAGAACGAAGGAGAACGTTTCATCTCGCAGTTTAACGTCACCTGAACTCACCTGGAGTCCATCACCTGTTTCTAACACAACACGAGTCCTCACAGAGTCAGTCTGACTCAGAAATAAGACTTTCATCTTTAGAGGTTTTCACGGTTAAAGCTGTGATCAAAGATCAAAGATGACATCATTTTCATCAAAGTGAACTTTGATGAAAGGAGGGGGAGGAGTCACAGCGATGCGAGGAAACGTTTTCTCACCATCCAGTCGGAGTCGGTGGTCACGCAGCTGATCCATTTACCGTACTGAGGACGCGCACACACCTGAAACACACACACACACACCTGTGTTTATCCTCAGATAAAGAGGAAGTGACATCATCACAGGAAGTCTGCGACGCTTTCCGGCACTCACCTCGTACTTGTAGACCTCGATGCAGTGAACACACTGACCCGTCCTGCTGTCTGCAACAGCAACACATCACCTTCATCATCACCTCCATCACCAAAATCCTCATCGTCACTAATATCACCATCATCCTCACTAGGGCTGAGCGATAAGGCCTAAAATCCATATTGCGGTATAATTTGAAGCATGTGCGGTAACGATATATAGGCGCAGCTTGATGAGATCATCAACATGCGCCATCACGGTAGAGCGGTATAGTCAAAACCCCACGTTGGCCAAATTCATATCGTTTCTACTGTATATTGTTTATACCGCCCACCCCTACTCCTCGCCACCATCTTCACCATCATCATCCTCCCGACAGCCCCATGTTTCCTGTGAACTCACCCCACAGCCTCACTGCTCCGTCCTCTCCCCCCGACAGGATCTCCGCCTCCCTCTCTCTTACAGTCACGCAATGGACGTAGTCCGAGTGACCCTGAAGCACCGTCTGAAGACAAAACACAAACCTGTCACCATGGAAACACAGAACTCCCCCAACAGACGCTGCCATGAAAATCAGATTGAAACAGTTCAGTGCACACACGGACGTCCAGGCATAAAACCTGCAGTTCCTCTGACATCCAGCAGAGGCTCCAGCAGTGAGTCGTTCCCCACAGACTCACACGTTAACAGCAGAAGTCAGCATTTACACACACACACACGACAGCGACGTGCTGTAAGGAGAAAACATGGAGTCAACGTTCCCCACTCACCTTGAACACACCGTTTTCCAGGTCCATGACATGGATGTTGTTATCGCCTCCTCCAACCACCAGGCTGTTATCCTGACACACAAACACAACTCCTCATTACACGTCGGAGCGACACGTCCGACAGAAAGACAACTATCCTCATTATCATCGGAGAAAAGGCCCCGACTGCAGCTGCATCCCTTCTACAAGCAAAAAATTAAATAACATTCAAAAAGAATGAAAAGAAGTCAGAATAATAAAAGGACCTCAATAAAACATCCAAAAACAAATAAAGGTTTAGTAAAAGGGTGGCTCTGACGACGAGGATGATGAGGAGGAGAATATTCTTCATACTGTCACAGGTTTGTGTTTTATTTCAGGTTCGAGTGTTTTCTGCTCGTAGAGGCGGGCCAGCTTTAACGCGATGAAGAGAAGCAGAGCAGACAGGTGGAGCTGTACTCACTCTGGGGTTGATGGTCATGGAGTTGATCTCTGGGATCTCCAGGCTGGATCTGTAAGGAGACAGCAGATGCGTGAGTGAGGAAGCAGACAGGAGGCAGACAGGAAGCAGACAGGAGGCAGACAGGAGGCAGACAGGAGGCAGACAGGAGGCAGACAGGAAGCAGACAGGAGGCAGGGGTGGAAGACTGGTTCTCACTTGTAGTTCGGTCTTCGGGTCCACAGAGGTTTGACGTTCTGAGGAAGCAGAGACACAAAAATCAGGCAAACTCGTTTTCCCTCTCCATCTATGTGTCCCTGAAGACGTTCCAGGTTACCTTCTTGGTGAGCTCGCTCCAGCTCCAGGCGCTGATCTCGCCATTTCCCGCGCTCAGCAGGTGGCAGTCAGTGGACAGAAGGGAAAAGACCGGTCCCTCATGAGCTGCAGGACAAAAAGACCAAAAAGGAATCTGTGAGGACAGTGTGTCCAACATCAACACGGACACAATAAACGGCCACTAAAGTCCCAATGAAACCAGAACTCGTCACAGGGCAGCAAATAAAAAATCACAATAAAATGAGCCTCAAAAATATTGACTCACAAACACACCTGGAACTCCACCTGCAGGCTAAATCCAGAGTTTTGGTTTAAAATCAGCTGGAACCTTCACGTTTTCACTGATTCTTTATTTCCAGCGTGTTTTCAGCATGACGCAGATGTTTGTCACCAAACACACTGACGCTTTAGCGCCTCACAAGAGCGTCCAGTGTGACGGGAAACAGACAAATGTCTGGATCTATCAAACAAAAGGCTGGAAAGGTGAGTGTGTTTTCATGTGAGTGAGCTCAGACTTCCTGGGTTCTCATCACGTTGTTATTTTTTTATGCCACTGTTCGAGTCTGCAGGTGTAAAACACCAGCAGGTACACCTGTGACGCCCTCGCCATACTGCAGAGGCTCGGATGGTTTAGGGCGACCTTTGGCCCGAACACTCACCCGTGAAGGTCAGAACAGGTTTCTGGTTGAGCGCGGTGGCGTCTGGACTCAGAGCTGCAGACAAACTGAAAAAAACAGCAGTGACAAATAAGAGGTGTGGCCCTCGCAGCCGAGTCGAACCAGGTGCGTTTGACTCACCTGAACACTGCGATCTCGCCGTAGTTGTTTCCAGCTGCCAGGAAGCGGCCGCAGGGAGAGAAACTCTGAGAGAACACGGACATGTGCAGCAGCTGCAGACACAGACAGGTGCGTTAGTCCAAGCGCCACAACACAGGTGAGCAGCCACACCTGTGCAGGGACATCTGGACACTTAGTTACCACGTGCTGTAGGACATTCAGTCATGTGACGTCACCTTTATTCACCTGAGTGTAAATCAGCTTTAAATAAACAGTTTGTGAATGAACGTGCATGTCTCTATAAACAGATGACTCGGAACAAAGGTTGTTATTAATACTGATCACTTCCGGTCAGTAAATCTATCGCACATCACATTCACCTCAGCCTGAAACTTTTTAAAGACTCGAATTTAAATTCAGTGGAATTTTTAACGGAGTTTGTTTTCCGGTAAAACCTGGAACTAATCCGAGCTCGTTCACTTCTTTGTTTCTATCGTTCAGCACGAAGCTCGCTTTACTCTCAAACATCAGCCGGTTTCTCTATTTCCTGTTTCCGGTGAGATAAACGGAGCAAGCCTCACCTCCACGGGACCCATGCCGCTCCCACAAACACACCGAGCTCCTTTAAAACGAACAGGCACAAACACCCAAACAGAAGCAAAGGAACCAAAACTTAAACAGAGGAGGGAAAGAGCGGACCGGGGCGAGGGAATGTGACGTCACCAACACCAGCCCAGAGGATTCTGGGAGACGTAGTGTAGAAGCGGCAAGACGCTTCTTTTCCTCAGCGGCTCGTCCTCCTTCACTGCATCCACGAAGTTTCTCTGAGCTCTTCCTCTTCTCTTCCTGCCATCAGATTAATCATCATCCTCCCTCCTCTGGACCGTCTCATCCTCCCTCCTTCCTCCTGCAGATCACAGAGTCGCCTGCCTGGCCTCATCAGCCATCCCGTCGATCAGTACTGCAAAAAAGCAGGGGCTCAGAGCAGATCCCTGATGTACTCCCACCAAAACCTTCAGCCACCTCAGCGCTGTCCTCATACGTATGCTGCACCACCCTCACATACTCCTTCATGGTTCCTCGTGCAGTACCATCAGTCATCTGCTTCCTCTGATCCACAAACACACAGAAGCTCCTTCTCATCTACATTTCTCCATCAGGTCTAACGTCACAGCTCTTCCTCAGCATAAAGCCACATGTTGGTGGTGTGGCTCACCAGCATCATCCTCTCTCCTAGACTTCTCCACACCCACAGAGGTACACTGTACTGCCAAAAGTATTCACTCGCCCATCCAAATCATTGAATTCAGGTGTCCCAGTCACCTCCATGACCTCCATGACCGCAGGTGTTTAAAGTCAGCAGCTAGGCATGCAGAAATAATGTGTGGAAGCAGGGCTCGCTCTCAGGAGCTCAGGGAACTCCCTCGTGGCGCTACCATAGGATGCCTCCTGTGCAACAGGTCCAGCTGTGGAATTTCTTCACAACTTAACATTCCACAGTCAGCTGTTAGTGGAATTATAACAAAGTGGAAACAACTGGGAACGCCAGCAGCTCAGCTATGAAGTGGTCGACCGTGGTGCGAGGCGCAGAGTGCACAGAGGTCGCCGACTCTGCGGAGTACGTTACTACAGACACCAAACCTCACGTGGCCTTCAGCTGAGCTCAACAACAGTGCGCAGAGAGCTTTTTGGAATGGGTTTCCATGGCGACCAGCTGCATACAAGCATTACATCATCAAGTGTTTAATGCAGTGGTGTAAACCACGCCACTACTGGACTCTAGAACAATTGCGGCATGTTCGCCGGACTGACCGATCACGATCACGAGGACCGGCCTGCACAGAGTCCTGACCTCATCCTGATCCAACACCTTTGGGACCAATCAGAGCGGAGACTGTGAGCCAGGCCTTCTCCTCCAACACCAGCGTGACCTCACACATGTGCTTCTGGAAGAATGATCAACACTCCCCATAAACACTCCTGAACCTGAGGAAATCCTTCCAGGAGACGTCCAGCTGCACACGGTGGGCCGACATCATATTCACTGGAGTTCATGGCAGAACGGTGGATCTCATCTGGACCAGTCGCCTTTCCACTCTCCACCCTCGTCTTAGCTGCTCTCAAAGTTATCATAGTTTTATACTCTCAAATGATTTTTTATTTTTATTTCATTTTGAGTTTTTAATTCGCTTTAGTTTCCAGAGCACATTTTCTTGTTTCGGTTTGGTTCAGTCCACAGCACAAAAAATCATCGGCTGCCCCCTGCCCTCTTTGTCTGCTGTCTACAACTCCCGTTGTCTCAGCAGGGCCAGAAACATCTCAAAGGACACTACCCACCCCGCCTACCATCTTTTCAACCTACTGCCCTCTGGCAGGCGCTTCAAATCCATTCAGGCCAGAACAAACAGACTCGGGGAAGGCTTCTTCCCCAAAGCTATCACCATACTCAACTCAAACTTGCACACAAGGGCGTAGATTTAGAGATTATTGAATTGTCCCCACCAATAGAGAAATCAAACCCGATAGAAAGGAAAAAAAAGATCTGTCAACGTCTCATTCACCCAGCGGTGCAGAAAGAGTGAAATTAGTTCTCTACTGGAGTCCTACCTCATGTGACAAATATGGCCAGTATGATTGGCTGAGCCTTTCAGGGAGCTCTGTTTAGTTTTAGCAGCGGAAAACCTGCGCTGCGAGGAGGACGGCAGCAAAGAGGAAGAACCTGGATATAAGAAAGTATTTTTCAAAGAAACCTGTAAGTTAGTGCTGGGCCACATCATACCGTTCACGGTAATACCGGTATGATGTTGGGCAACGATGAGAAAATGAAGTATGGCGACTGTGGCTCATGGGGTTGGGAATCGCATCTGTAACCGGAAGGTCGCCGGTTCGATCCCTGGGCTCTCTGTCCTGGTCGTTGTGTCCTTGGGCAAGACGCTTTACCCTACTTGGCCAGAGGGGCCGATGGCGCGATATGGCAGCTTCGCTTCTGTCAGTCTGCCCCAGGGCAGCTGTGGCTACAACTGTAGCTGCCTCCACCAGTGTGTGAATGTGAGAGTGAATGAATAGTGGCATTGTAAAGCGCTTTGAGGGCCTTGAAAAGCGCTATATAAATGCAATCCATAAAACACGCATGCGCTGTGCCTTTGTTTTCATACGCACATGGCGGAAAAAGTATGACGGAGAATGAGAAGAGCGAAAGCCGATCGTTGAATGAAACGATGAACCAGAACTGGTTTGTAAAATGCTGCAGCTTCACTGGTGTGGAACTGGTTTAGCTTTCGTCCGTCAGATACACAACAAAGCACTATTTTTGGTAGCGCATGCTAGCGGGCCGTCGTTATTACCGTGTTGTTTGGAAAATACGCCACACTTAAAATCAATCCTTTGATTTTTCTGAAAGTCGACAGAGCCCCTTATAATCCCGTGTGCCTTATGTATGAACTCTGGTTGTGTTTACTGACCTCGAAACGATTTTATGTGCACGGCGCTCGAACATATGTCAGATGTTTCAGTACGACTTTGCTAAGCTACGAAGCCGCACCGCTTGATGGATTGTCGGAGCGTTACGGCTGTCGTAGGCGGAGCCTCGTGGAGTGATACGTACTGTGCTTCAACATAATATTACAGTGTTGTGTGTATAACCTCTTTAAGTTTTGTGGATGTTATACATGGTTATGCTGAGGATGTGTCGGCCAGTTTCCACTGGAAATGCCTTTTGGTTAAACTGTCAGCGAGGAGTTTGCACAAGTAACAGCTGCTTGTTTAAGTGAAAATACATTGATGGGTTTTGCACTAATAAAGTTGTGGAGTTGTAAAGTATTTTTTCTTGTGACAATTATATCGTCAGTTATCGCAAATTTTCAAATGTATATCGTGATAAATATTTTTGATCATATCGCCCTGCTCTACTGTAAATCACTTAAAGCCAAGTGCTAGGCTTTGGCCCACATCAGTCTGAAACTGTATGTAACCATGAATAACGTGTTTTGGAAACATGCAGCACTATTAGTTCTCTCAGTCTCAGAGCAGCATTTCTAATTTTGATTGAAACTGTCAGAGAAAACAGCAGCCTCGAGCGAGCCAGGATATTAGTTTACAGAGGCTGTTAAAATTATATGTCTAACGTTAAAATGTTGGTGACACAATAATTTTATCCTAATGGCTCTGACATATTCATAGGGTTAATTTTTGAGACAAAATGTCATGAGGTAGTCCTGATTTTGCAAATATTCCACCTTGTAGTGCAGTGTGCACAAATTGTTTTAAAAATGCACTCACGCTACAAACATTACTGATGAGTCAAGATCTGCACAAAGTGACAGAAACACATTTTATTCTTATTGTCATGTATGTCCTATTTGTCAGGTGACAGAACCAACACAGAGCTCAGAGAGTAATGGTGACAGAAGATCACAGGTGGAATTGGATGATGACTTGATCAGGCCCCATCTTATCTTAATGACCTTGTAGTACCATATCACCCTATTAGAGCACTTCGCTCTCGCTCTGCAGGCCTACTTGTTGTTCCTAGAGTATTTAAAAGTAGAATGGGAGGCAGAGCCTTCAGTTTTCAGGCCCCTCTTCTGTGGAACCAGCTTCCAGTTTGGATTCAGGAGACAGACACTATCTCTACTTTCAAGATTAGGCTTCAAACTTTCCTTTTTGCTAAAGCATATAGTTAGGGCTGGACCAGGTGACCCTGAATCCTCCCTTAGTTATGCTGCAATAGACGTAGGCTGCCGGGGATTCCCATGATGCACTGGGTGTTTCGTCTTCACTCACTATGTGTTAACAGACCTCTCTGCACTGAATCATATCTGTTATTAACCTCTGTCTCTCTTCCACAGCATGTCTTTATCCTGTCTTCCTTCTCTCACACCAACCAATCACAGCAGATGGCCCCGCCCCTCCCTGAGCCTGGTTCTGCCGGAGGTTTCTTCCTGTTAAAAGGGAGTTTTTCCTTCCCACTGTTACCAAAGTGCTGCTCATAGGGGGTCATATGATTGTTGGGTTTTTCTCTGTATCTATGAAGCGCCTTGAGGCGACTTATGTTGTGATTTGGCGCTATATAAATAAAATTGAATTGAATTGAATTGTTGGTTCATGACTGTATTTGAAGCACATGTGTGACTGCATGTATGTGGAATGTCTTACTGTTGTTCTGTCCACCAGGAGACACTGGACAGTATAGATGTAAAACCAATATGCCAGCAGTTTATCTCAGTTAGTGAGAGGAGCAGGCCTGTGTTTGGCTGCTTCACATAGTGAACATTGAGTTGTTGTGTGGGACATGTAGTCCATGTCTGTTGCTGTAACAGTAGTTCATGTTTAGAATTAAAAAATCCCAGCTCACTGAGTTGATCGGGGCAACAGTGCCTAAAATGTTGCATCATTTTGCTGAGAGATCTTTTGTGGTAATCTTAGATGAGTAGTTTTATGGACAAAACCCAGCAGGTCATTCAGTGTTTCCTTAGTGCTGATGTGTCAGAGATGTTGGTGTAACTGAAGTAATGTTGTTAAGTCCTTAAAGTCATATTCTTTTATTGTCATGACTCTATTTTTATGTTTGTATGACACCTGATTTATATTGAATATGACTGAAGTAAACTAGTCTTTGGCTACGTCCACACGTACACGGGTATTTTTGAAAACTGAGATTTTCCGTTTTCGTTTTAAAAAATAATCCCGTCCACACATAAAGGCAGAAATGAAGGAAAACGCTGCTATGAACATGCCAATGCAGCAGGTGGCGCTAGATTCCTAACCGTGCAGAAATGTTGGCCAATCAGAAGTCTAGAAGCCTCGGTGGGAAAAAGTAAACAAAGCTGGGGCATAGAAGCAGAACCGAGTCGTATGTGTGGAGGGACAGTAACTGTGTGTATATGTAAGCATTTAAACACTGCAGAGAGTAGGATTAACAGTAACAGTATTGTAGAAATTATTTCACCCCAACAATAACATGGGCACAGTGTGACGTCAAAAAAGGCGCACATCTTTGACGCTCACACGTAAATGCAAAAACTGAGTTTTCAAAAATATCCACCCTGGCAGGCGTTTTTAAAAATCTCCATTTTCAGTGACCGAAAACGCCGTTTACGCGTGGACGAAAGATGCAAACGCATAGAAACATCTGCGTTTTCAAAAATACCCGGGTACGTGTGGACGTAGTCTAAAATACTTAGTCATTTAGTCATAGTTATAATTCACATATAAAACTATGAATTGTAATTTTAAATGGTCTAAAAGCACGTAGAATAGCATATGTAGGGAAGTATATTTCTCCTTTATTTTATCAAGAAGCAAAAACAAAAAGGAAAAAAGAAGAAACGGGGCAGGGGTCGGTGGTTGAATCATCCGTCTCCACCAACGCCAAAACCAAATCTACGCCCTCGCTTGCACACAAGTAATCTGCACTGAAATATCATCAATTCTCTGCCTGTCGGTCTCTGTCATCAAGTACTGTACTGTGTATTTATATTTATATTAAGTGCATCTCATTATACTATGTATAATGACAATAAAGACTTTCAATTCAGTTCAAGTTTTTCTTACTTTTAGTCTTTCTAAGTATTATTATTGGCATGAGTCAGTGCAGGTAAAATAAAACAGGATTTTGGATGTAGAGAGAAACCAGTCAGGACAGAATTCATTGCAATATTTACATAGTAACATTTCCTCTTCACCAAACTTTCCTTCTATTATTATTTTATTTTGTTTTATTTTGTTTTGCAAGTTTACAAAAATAATTCAATTTTTACTTGAGTTGATTAAAAGGATTTTTCACACTTGGCTTCAGTTAGCTGTGATAACCTCGGCTGACCTCACTTCCTCCATCCTGCTCTTCATCCATCAGCTCCACACAGAGCACAGGTGCTCGTTAACCTGACCATCTCATCTTTACGATGTGCATGTTTGCTCTGACATCAGATGGACTTCCTGATAAAACCCTCCCAGTTTATCTGAACCAGGACTACACTGGCTCGTGGTCCCCATGTGGCTGGGTTAAGAGACATTGTGATATTATGAAAATAATAAATATAAGACAACAAAAGGGAGATAAACAGTATTCAGTCTTCATAATGCGGGAAAGTTTGTACAAAAAAGGGAAAAAGTGCTGATAAAATGTTGTTTCAGTTTAAAACTTTTTGGTTTTTCCACCATCTCACACTGAAACATGTCGATTAGATCTGATTAGACTTTTATTGTGAAGTATTACTTGATGGGACTTTTGGGATTACTTTATATTCTTTTATTCTGGTATAAGTTTGTTTTTTTTGACAGTCAGCTGACTGATGAATGGACCAGCTGAGGTTTGCATTCACACTGATTGTTCCTGCAGGGACTCGTCTGATCCTCGTGCTCTGCAGATCAATATGTTTATTGATTTCATGACGTTTTATTGGTGCTTCATGGAGCTGTTGTATAACTTTAATGAAGGACCTCCTCAGAGTCTGTGAGGGGAGAGCTGCTGGCCCACTTCATTCACAGCAGGCTCGGGATCGCATTAATGCTCCATCTTAAAATGACGACTCGACACTGGTTTGTTTGTTAGAACTTTGACACCAAAGCATCGGTGCTGTCTGATGTTGTGTTTTTATGAAGGATCTGCAGGACGAACACAGTTTGTGGAAAATGTGAGCATGCTCTTACTGAAGGGAGTCAGCTCAGAGATTCAGAACCATCTGTATACCCCAGAGACACAACATCTCAGCTACAATGTATGAATGATTGAAAATGATGTGCTGTACCGAGAAGGCTGGTTTAGACTTCTTTGTCCATCCCTGTTTTGGGAGACAATCAGCAATGCAGGAACGTGCTGCAGCAACATCTCCAGAAACCATTACACCTGTGACACCTGTATCACATATTATACACCATATATAACATCATATCACCTGGGTTTGTTGAGCAAGGTTTACTACAGTGTGTAAAAGTCCCAAAGTTACCGTTATGATGCAGAGTGTAGCATGTTTCAGGTGTGTGTGAACCTGCTGCGGGGACAGAACAGCACAGGTGAGTATTTAATGGTCACACTGCAGACTTCCCAGTCCTGAGCACGAGTCTGTGCGTCATGCAGACCGGCCTCACCTTCACCTGTGTGATCGGTGCCGCACTGAGTGGGATAATAATTGGCGGCTGATTAGTGGGCACAGGGACCGACACAGAGGCGGCTGCAGGGCCCAAGGTGTGAGCGCCTGAACGAGTCCCTCGGCTCGGTTCTGTTTTTCCCTGACGGGCCGGGCTGCGGTCGGTGTGTCTGCGCCAAAATGGACACCGTAGAGTCCGAGCCCTGAGAGCCCGGCGCCGCCAGCGCGCCGTGCCGCTACAGCGGCGCGAGGACTTCACTGTGCGTGTGATGACGCGCGTGCGACCGAGCGGCGCTGCGCTCGGCTAGCAGCGGCAGGAAGTACGCTGCTGAAGCGGCGGCAGGGGGACCGAGCCAACAACCAAAAGTCGGTGATGAGCAGGGGAGGAAAAATAATCATGCCTAATCCGTGAAAGTGGCTCATTTTGCATCTCCGCGCCGTGCATCGTTCACCCTGCGGGCGCAGAGGCCATTTGAGGGGTAAGTGTGCGCTGCGAAACGCCTCGAAAACGCGGTTTTCCATCAAAGGGGGCCGCGGTGTGTTTGTCGAGATCTTTGTGTCGCTCCGGACTAGCCTGGGGTTGCTAAGGCTAGCTGGGACGCTAACCCCTGCGAGTTCCTGCAGCTTCTCCTCGCTTGTGAGTAAAGTGCGGGCTCTCGGTGGCGTGTGCGGCCCAGCCACGGTGTTTTTGTGTGTCTGTTTGTGCTTTTCTTGTGTTGAACTTCCGTTATACCCCCTTTCTGTCATAGCGGGGGGTTGCTAACGGGCTAGCCGCGTGCTAACGCTAGCGTTAGCTCGGCCGTGTGTGCGTGTGTGCGTGCGCGTGCTTTCAGCGCCTCTTCTCTACAAAATGCGTCTTATACAAAGACGGAGACGGTCGGGACTCACTCCGCCGTCAATCTGCGTCGTGTTTCGCTCTGTGAGCCCCGCTCGGCCCGCAGCTGGAGACCACCAGCGGGCTCCGTTTGCGGGGCTAAAACGCGAGCTAACCCCCGTTAGCTGGGGGAAAATGGCTCGCTGCTCGAAAGCCATTTTCCGAGTGAGATGGGGTCTCAGTGAAAGTGGGCTGATGGCTGCCGGTGATCTACCAGCTCTTTTGGGAGCATCACATAGGAAAACAGCCACAGGCGTCTCCCCCATCGCTCACCCCGTCCTCCTCCAGCGGCGGAAAGCTGCGGTCTGGAGGAGGAAATGTCGGCCGGGTGTCGAGGAGAAGATGCCCCGCTTTGTCCCAGCAAATCCCGACCGAGAGGAGACAAGCCAAGGTCAGGGAGCCCCGCTGCGCACATTGGAGGCAGACCTGCCTTCGCCGGGCAGAGAGGAGCGGGGAACACCGCGGCGGGAGCGAGCGCAGCGGCTCTTTTGATCCTGCGGTAGTTTAACGAAGCAGGGCGGTTTGTTTACATGATGGAAGGAAAAAGTGACAGGCTGCTGATTGGCTGCCGCTCCCGGGCCCGATCACATCCCAGTGTGAATGAGACCCTTCGTGTGGAAAACCTGACCCACATTATCGCCGTGGACGTCTCTGTGAGCAGCCTCGGGTCCGTACGTGGGCTCCCAGCCACAAAGCGGCTCTGTTAAGTGTTAACAATGTGTTGCAGTTCAGAGTAATCCTTAAAGAGTGAAACACCAGATGGGCGCTGAGTTTATCTATTTATTTATTTATTTGTACAAACTGGGTGAGAGGGGGGTGGCCCACAAAAATTCAGTTGTTTATTTTACTTTTAGTGGAGAGGTGTGTAACTACACAAACGTTTAGATATGATACAAAGTTGGGTGGAGCTTCTGTCCACTCTGTGTGACATCATATGAATCCATGTGTAGAAAAACTGTATGAGCCTGAGTGTCAGGTATATTTTTAAACTTTCATTTGTGTCATTATTCAGATATTTTCTGTTTCAACATGAAGAAAATGAGTTTGTTCTTTTCACACAGGGGAAAAAAACTGAATAGGATCTGAAATGTTGAGAGTCACTCGGGCGGGGAAAAGGTTTCGTTTTCCTGAAGATATCAGATATTTTTGATTTGCTGTAACATGAAAACACAAGTTTCTAAAGCTGTGATGCTCGTGGGACGGAGGTGAAATCTTTGGTTCAACTATAAGTTCAGAGACGCAAAGCAAAAGCAGGAAAATTAAATGTGGACACTAAAATCTCAAATAACTCTCTCTCTCTTTGTTATACAGTTTCTTCCTTTTAATTGGATTTTGTTGAACTGAAAGGGTTTGAAGCAGATTGCTTGACTTGGTCCTGCATAAATTCACTTTATTGATCATATACGAGAGAAAAACAGTCTTTTTGTCTGAAAAAGGAAGTGATGCATTGTAAAAATAATTGCTGATTTTTCTTTTGAGTAATTGAGCTCTAATCAGTGTTTAACTGTTATTTAATAATATGCAAATCTGAATACTGTAAGATAAGCCACATGGTCAAACATGAGGGCTGTATTAGCCGTTATTCTCATTAGGTAGGTTGTTCATTGTTACTTCATTAAAAAAAACCTCAAAGCTGAAAGTGTTCAAATCAATTTCTTTGCCTCCAAATATTCACTTTATTGATCATGTATGAGACGGAAAAGCAGCAGAGAGGGAATTTGACTTTTTCTACAGGAATTTGATTAAATGTGATTATTTTCAGTGTAGTCTCTGTAAATTTGTCCTCTGATTATTCTGTGAAGCACTCGGAGGTAAACGTGCAGAATGCATTCAAAAATAAAATGCAGATATTCTGAAATAATTTATTCTCGATCATGCGCAGTTTGAAGTAATCTGAGTGTATTACAGAAATATTCCAGTGTCTCCTTTAAGTTAGTCAGAGAAACTGAAGCTCAGTGAGGATCTGAGATCCACCGTGGACCGCACACACTTCAGCTGTTTGATTCATGCGAGCCACAGGTAGAGCTGCGCCTACCTGTGGCTGATGGCAGAGCGCTAACAAGACGGTTTAAATTTCAGGTCCCTCTTCGTGTTTCAGATTCGCCTCGACACTCAGCCGCAGCCAATAAAGCATGAGCACTCTGTGAGCGTTGGAGAGTCGAATCACTGATATTTAAATGGAGTGTGTGATTTGTTCTTGTTTGTAAAGGAGAAATAAATTTGCAGCGCTTTAATCTGCGGTCTGTGTGACTGAACAGCGAGGAAATGAACGCCAGGTTACTCTGTAATGAAATCACGACTGGCCTGTTTCCCTCGCCGGTGGCGTCTCCTGTCGCCTCTGCTACTGCCGTGGGCTTTCTTTGTCCTCACATCAAACATCTGGCCGAATGCAGCACCTCCTCCCTGTTTACTCCCCCCGCTCCTCCTCTCCATCATTAAAACTCGTCGCAGTGGCGGTCTGAACATAACCTTGGCATTTAAGGGCGACCTGCTCGTTTCCGTTTATTCCTGGACTCTGCTACAGCAGCGCGATTCACAGAGTCCCTGTTTAACACACTGGGAGGCTTCACGCTTTCATGTCTTATCTTCTCCTCGATCGTTTCCTTTACATGAAAGTAACAGAACACGCTCAGGTGTCTGCGTTCATCCTAACCAGCACATATTTAGGCAGAGAAAATGTCTCGCTGCCATATTAGAATAAAAGATTTTATTAAATTTGTAAGAGAAAAGTCTTAATGTAAATGAGCTGGGGAATTTTCAGCGATTTCTAGAAAGCAAATTTTTGCCTCATTAGGTTTAAAAAAATAAATAAATAATAGAAATGCGTCCACATCTTCTGTTTGGCTGTCCCAGCTGGACAGCTCTGTGACCTCGTAGAGATGCAATGGCATGAAAACACTGATAAACTGAGTGTCAATCAGTCTGCAGCCTGAACTTGGGGCTCTCAGGGATTACTGTACATACAGTAGGCTCATTATTAACTTGGCTGTGTTTAAAATGGACATCCATCAGTAGAGCAGGAGACACATGACAGGAAGTAATGGGCAGGCTGGTTTTAAACACGTGGCTGGTAACAAGTCCATCTCTCCTTTACATGTCGGTCATGTGTTTTACTTCCTCACACAGAGTGGACAGTAAGTCGTCAGCGATGCAGTGTCAGATGCTCCGTTTCCTACTGAGAGTCTGACAAATACGTTGAAAAAGTCGTCTTTTTTTCAGCTGTTTTTTTTCTTGAGTAACGACTCATCAGTAAATGGTCCTTACAGATGTGCCAAACTTTATTAGCAGCTACTGCTGTCGTCTTTATCCTGCAGTAAACATGTTATGTTCTGCTGTACAGTTTTAACTTCTATGGGAGTCTATGGGGACTGAGGCACTACTGCCTCTGCTGGACCCCAGAGGAACTGCAAGGAGAAAAAACAAGAAGCAAAAAACAGAAAAGTGCCCGAGTTCACAAACGAAAAGCTTCATAATGATCAAGAAGGATGATAAAGATAACAAAGTCAGCTGAACACGTTGATGCACCGCAGCTCTGATAAACACAGCACTCGCCTGCTCTGAGGCGATGATGCTGGGTTATGTGCAGGAAAAGGCACCGATCTGGTTCTTGTGTCCCCGCTGGTGAAGGCATCGTGCCGCCTGTGGGCTGAGGTGGGGGGCTCTGCAGGTAAAAGCTCTGCAGGGAGATGTAGAGGAAGTTTCCCCTCACATCCTTCACTCGCTCCTGCTGCTGTTTATTTTCCTTGCTGCCTTCCTGCCTGTCAGACTGCAGCTCGTCAGCGCCTCCCCTCCTCCTCCTCAGGTTACCTCTCCTGCCAATCAAACCCTCCTCCACACCTTTATTTTCCACTGCAGCCCCCCACCCCAACCCCTCCTTTTCCCCCTCTTTCTGTTTTTCCCCTTCCTTCATTCCTTCCCCTCCCCCACGCCTCCCCTCGTGTCTCACCTCGTTTCCTGCTTCCTTCCTTTCTTTCTTTGTTCTTCTGTTTCTCGCTCATTACCGGTGAATCTGTTAATTGCTCATTAATGAAACGACTGTGGTGATAACGGTACGACGGTAAATATTTTTGTGTGGAGATTGGCGTGTTTTTCTTGCGCAGACAATCCGTCTCTGCTTCCTCTTGAATCGTTTTAATTGAGTTCCTGGACCGATTTGTGCTGCTCAGCTCAGGTTTTCATGCTCATGTTTTATATTTAACAAACATCCAACAACTTGTCGACTAAATCACTTAAAGCTCCAACCTGCAGCACCACATTTGAGACCCGGGTGACCTCTGTCCTCTCACAGGTAGCTCACCTTTAATGAGACATGCACTGATCAAACATCCGTGGTTGATTGGGTATATTTGTGTTGATCAGTCCTGTAGTTTAGCCTCACCGCTGATATATTCGCTGCTGACTGGGTGCTGTTGGGTTTTAGAGCAAGTTTGTTTAGCTGAATTCCCATAATTCCTCTCTGTTCAGCCAAAGAGAACATAAACACAAACCCGAGACCTTAAATCCCACCTGATGACCAGGTGGTGTCCTCGTAGTGCTGACGCTATCGCCCGTGACGGCTTGTAAACCGTTTGATCCTCCTTCCTGTCAACGCTCTTTTCCCGTTAGCCAACATCTGTATTCCGGGCCTTTTCCTGCTCATAGAGATTCTCCAGTGGAGACTACACACATAACTGTGATATGTTATTTAACACAAATCTGGGTGTTTCCTTCTTCACGAAACGCCTGAGCTGTGGTCCATAAAGTTAAGCTTTAAGATTTATACTGTCTGCTGCTGCATCACAGTCGGCAGTTTGAAGCTGAGGTGGTGATGTTTACGTAGGACCCAGCTCGGCGGTCCATTACTATGTCTAACAGGAGGTTTCAGCCTCTCGGTTTGCTCACATTTAAATTAAGCTGAAATCTCAGATCAGTCATTATAGACGTTGTTCTATAAAACCATCGTAAGCAAAGGCTGGTTCAGTTGTAATGCCATCAGAAAATCTGCCCATGAGACCCTTTGTGTTCTAAACGCTTCAGTTCCTCTGACATCCAGCAGAGGCAGCAGAGAGCCCGTACCCATTGACCCCCATGTTAACAGCCTGATACACAAACTGTGTAGGTTTATGTATATATTTCCTTTTCATAAAGTCCTGCACACGGAGACGATGTTTGGACTGTGGCTTTGGAGGACTTTATTTTAAATGATTTTTATGGGCTCAAATTGTGGTCATAAATATTTTGTACTTGTAAATCAGGATTTGTATGTGTAAAAAAGATTTGTGTGTGGACTTAGCCAAAAAATACGTGTGAAACTCTGCACTCAAGTTTCAAGTTACAAGTACGAATTTTGACCACAATTTGAGCCCATAGATTTTAAGTGACAGCCAACTGACAGTTCTTTAACTCCCCCAGAAAACGTAAGAAACAATATTTTACATTTTCACTCTTAAAAAAGAATAATTCTTTGAGGCGTCAGTTGTAGAAAATCTAAATCTGTGCGTCTCTGCTGTGATTCATGATGTTCAGATTTGTTCATATGCTCGGTTATTGACGTCACCGACGTTATGAACGGTGTTTAAGCCAAACACTGGCCGAGGCTTGAACCTGCAGAGATGAGCTCGTGTTGGAGTTTTATAGGGATCTGTGTTATCAGGAGAAACCTGGAAAGTCTTTGAGCGGGCCTCGAGCCAGTGTTTGAACCCAGCTGTGTGTAATGAGATGAACACGAACGGCTGCTGTAATCTGCCACAGATTACAGATTACACATGAGCCTGTTAAAAAGGACGCAGACACTTTAATCCCACTGAAGGATCTGTTGAACTGATTCCTGATCAGTTTGTGTCAGACTTCCACCAAATGTCTCACTCAGAAAAATAATCACAAGCATTTTAAACTATTTTTTAAGATATACTTTTGTATATTTCTGCGAGTTGTGGTTTTGGAGAGCACATTTTAACGAGCTGTAGTTAAATTTCAGTCGTTTCTGAAGTGGAGCTGTGGCTTTTGTAGAGTGAGGACGTTTGAGCTGTCGGTGAGCTGTCGGTGGAACAAAACGCGACACCTGAAGGCCAAGCTGACCGACATTTCCTCCACTTGTGCTTCTTTAATCTGGAAAATAAGGGAATTCTCTATTTCCCAGTGAAACTCGCTGACAGGTGCAGCGCTCACTGTCACGCGATGTCTGGACAAACCTGAATCTCACGCCTCCACAACCAGCAGAAACACAGCAACTGCTCCTGGAACCATACAATAAACCGGAGCATTTTCAGTCCCAGCAAACCCAAACAGGACCGATTCATCAGCAGCATCAGCACGTCCGCTTGGACTGCTTTCTTGTCTTTAACCGACTGAGCCTGTCCTCTTTAAGTGTCTCATTTTCTTCTCACACTTGGCCAAAGAAGCATTGAGTTTGTGCCATGCTGCCATCCATCCATATTTCACAAAATCCACTCCTCCTCCTGCATGATGGGTCTGAATTTAATCCAAACAACAGTGAATATTTGTGGGTATTTACTCGCATTGTGCTCAATGCAGAGGTCCCGTTTGTAGTTTTATAGGCAGTGCAATGCACAGTGAGGCGGATCAGGTCCTGCATCACTGATATTCTGGTTTTTCAGTCATACATGTAAAGTCCAACTAATCTGGACTTTAGAGGTTCGGTCTCTGATCGGTTAGACTGCATCCCACTGGGGTCCTAACAGAAAACACAAACTATTTGATCGAGGCAGATTTTAATCAAACTGTTGTCTAATGAGTGAAAAATAAACTTTTACATTTTTTCCCTTCTCAGAACATAAAAGTGATCCAACCGTTACTGACACGGAAAAGCAGCACATTTTTCAAACTGGAAATTGATGTTTTAAATATCAAAATAGTTTCAGAATATTTCTCTTAAAATATAAATGGAGTTGCCTCACACATTGGAGGGGTTACACAAGTTTTAACAAGTTGTCACATTCAAATAAATCGGGAGGTTGAATTACACCTGACGTGTTTCCTAAAGTTTGGCCTGCTGCTCCGTTATCATCGTGCAGATCAGGTGGTTTTCTGCTCTCACCCTGCTGTGGCAACTAGGACTGGATCAGGTTTACCTGACCGTGGGCCGATCCATTCACAAGTCGGATCGTCCTGTCCAAAATTCGCAAGATAGAAGTCACTTTTGAACAGTATGACCCAAAACAACTGAGACCATGAACTACAAGACATTTTTAGAGATAAGCTAAGAAATTAGTTTCTATAAGATGGGAAATGTTTTTGCAACCACAGGTATCGCTGTCTGATGGCCTTCAGATAACATGAAGATTTAAAGCACTTACCCACTGCCTTGTTTTTTTTCTGACAAAGAAGTTACATCCATTTAATGGTCATTTATTGGTATAATAAAAAAAATGATATTTTGTTTCTAGAGTCTTCCAGTTAAACTAATTTGAAATGTTTGGTCTGACACTTTATTAAAGCTACAGCTGATGCTTGTGCAACTGTGCTACTTAATTGTTGTGGTTAGCAAGCTGCTAGTGATCACTCGGACTATTGCTGATCCTTAAGATCACCATCCACAATTTCTATATCCAGCTATAAAATTTGTGATGCAAAAGCATAATAAAGAAAATTAAAATGATAACAGAACCTAGGACCAAACTATTTATATTAAATAATCTTTGTAGGGCTTTCCTGAATATCCCAGTCATTTTGAGATTCTGTTATAATCAATAGCAAATAGCTGAAACTTAAACTGAGGGACCTGGACTGAACTTCGAGATTTTAACAAAAGATAAGTAGGTATTTGAGTAACCTGTTTTCTTTTTCTTCTTCTTTTGTTTCTCCACAGTGATACCTCATTGGCCGGTGTGACCCCCGCAGGCCTGCCACCTCCCGGGGTGGGTCCTGATTGACCTGCGCTGACGGCTCCCAGGGAGAAAATGGCCTCCACTGCTGCCCTCAGCTAAAGAGCTAAGCCCTACAGTTTCCTCCCCCACCTCCTCAACATCACTGTTCATTGCTCTGTTGTGAACCGTGATTCCCTCCAAACGATTTGCTTTAGAGTACTATGGCAATGCATGATATGAGTCGTGCCAAGGGTTTCCCCTGTAAAGAATGTGATATGGTTTGCCCGAGTACTCCAAGTCTTCTAGAACATATGAAAGCACATTATCAGCAAGAAGAGACCGGTCGTTTTGAGTGTGAACAGTGTGGACGAATTTATAAACACGCAGCTAGTCTAGCCAATCATAAAAAATCTCACGAAGTTGGATCATTCCAGTGTCCTGTTTGTACACGTACGCTGCCCAACGCAGTAGCTTTGAAAAATCACTTACGGATCCATACTTTATCCCCTAGTAGTGCACACACAGAGGAAGAAAGCGAGGAAGTGCCCGAAGAAGCCGGCCACGACGAGAGGGACTACGGTCTCACCCAGGACCTCTCGGACGGGTTTGGGCGCTCCCATTTGAACAATAGTGGTATGGGACATAGTGTCCTGCAAAGCCACGAGACAGACGAACACGGAAAAAAAGGCTCCCCTGAATCTGACGACGCTTGGGACAGACCTTTCAAGTGTGATCAGTGTGACAGAACTTACCGGCACCACGGTAGCCTGGTGAACCACAAGAAGTGTCACCAACAAGGAACGTTTAAGTGCTCTGTGTGTTTCAAACTATTTGGCAACCTGGCTGCCTTAAACAGCCACGAGAGAACTCACTCGAAGTTCAAGACCCCTGGGGCCTCAATGGTGAGCAGCAGCAGTAGCAGCAGCAGCCTCCACGACTCGGAGCGCAGCACTGGCACTCAGTCCTCTCAAAGTGAAGACACTACCACCTGTTTCTGCCACCTCTGCCAGGTAGCGCTGCCAAATAAGGCAGATTTCCAAGAACACATTCTGCTGCACAACACTGCTTCACCTACCCTCAGCCTGCCACGGAGTTTTCCAGGCATCATGCCTCATAATCTGAGTGCTGTTCGATCCCCGGCATACACGCCGGCGCTGGGGGACCCTCTGCCTCTGCCTCTGCCACCAGTGCCGACTGAGAAGAGGGGCCCCTATGACCCCATTATGGGCCCTCCAGTCAACAACCCCATCTATACATGTGCATACTGTGGCGCAGGACACCCAGATCTGGAGACACTGAAAGTCCATTATCTAACTCATGATCCCCACCCTCCCTCCCATAGTCAGGACAGCTCCATCCTCAACTCGGAGACTCTAAGTTCTGGATCCCAGAGCTCGGTGGCCTCCCCGTCAGGAGGTCGTGTGCCCCAGGCTAATTCTCCAGATGATGAAGAGCGGCGCTTTAAGTGTGGGGAGTGTGGCAAAAGTTACCGGCATGCAGGAAGCCTGGTCAACCACAAACGCTGCCACCAAACGGGCCACTACCAGTGCACCATCTGCTGTAAGCAGTACCCTCACCTGGCAGCACTACATAGCCACCTACGAAGCCACAAGGGTCGTCCTTCCAATCAGCCTATTAACAATGACAGCAACGACTGGCTATCCCCAGAGCCCCTGACTCTGGACTCGCAGCAGAGCTACGTCCAGGAAGGTAGTGGTGCCACCACTCCAATCTCCCTGCCAGGAAATCTCGGCGAAGCTGCCCACTTTGTACCAGATGGAGGCCACAGCAGTGGGCTAGACTCTCTTGAGTTCCATGATCGCTTTGATGGCAGCTCACTCTCCCAGAGCAGCTCTGCTCACCGGCAAGCCGACCGACACGTATGTGCCGACTGTGGTGAGATGTATGGCGATGTGTCTGGCATCAAGTCGCACATGTGTCCCCGCCGTGGCCAGCAGCAGCAGCAGGCCAATATGTCCAATGGTTTTATGGGGAATATGAACTACCATAGCTCCAGTGGAACCTCGCTGCCTGCTGGAAGCTCCAGCAGCCTGAAAGAAGGCGGCAGTCAACGACAGTATCCTCAAAGTGGAGGCAAGAGAATGGGAAGCAATGACAAAGATGACGATGATGATGGAGAGGTGTATCAGTGCTCAGTTTGTGGCAACCACTATGCTAGTTTGAGAGCTCTCAGAAGTCACCTGCGTAGTCATGCCAACAACCCCACAGGGCCAGGACCCTCCAACCTGCAGCAGGACTGGAGGATGATCTGCTGTACCTGTGGCCAGACTTTTGCCAGAAAGCAGGATCTCCTGAATCATCAGTTAATCCATGGGCCCCAAAGGCCAGATGGTCAGCAACAGGGTATTGCAGGGAGTTCAGCCAACGGCAACGAAAAGATGGATGGCCGGAGCCACATTTGTGTTGACTGTGGCATGTTTTTCGCCGATCGCCACCATCTGATCACCCACCTGTGCCCTGGGAAGAATCGAGGTAACTCGATGAACAAGCCCGGCCTAAATGGAGCCAAAGGGATGTCTGGAGGAGAGGGCGTTGGCGGTGGTGTCGCTGGAAGAAGTTGTGACGTTGGCGCAGATGGACGTAGGCCAATGGTCGATCAGAGTGACAAGCCCCACAAGTGTGACCAATGTGGGCGAGGATACAGACACCCATGCTCTCTCCTTAACCACAAGAAGTCCCACAAGACCGGTGTTTTCCGTTGCCTTGTCTGCCAAAAACGTTACTACAACCTGCTGGCTCTCAAGAATCACCAAAGGACCCACTTTGACTTAAAGAGGTAGGTCTTCTGCCAGTTTCGAATGTCTCTCAACAAATTCTTTAAAAAGTTAACATTAGAAACAGTTAATGGTAGTGCCTACTGGAGGTCAAATCCAAAATTATCATGTTACTCTTGTTTTGTAAATAAAGTAAAGACGTTAATAAAGTTTTGTTTATTTTTATATAAATTTTGTAGCTATTTTACAGTTATAGGTACTGAGCACCAATTGAGGCATGTGACAAATTAAAACTGTTTGGCTAATAAAGATCTCATTCTGTCAAAGTGAGTTTTTTGACTTTAGTTGGCAAGATTTATGGATAACATTTTCATTGGTTTTCATCTAAACTTTGAAGTACAGGAGAATTGTTGCCAAAGTAGGTAGGGGTCTGAGGCTAGTAAAACTGCTGAGAACTGCTAACCTTATTAAGAATCTGACTTAGGCCACCCTAGAAATACCTACAAAGTGTCATTTTGCTTTTGAAATGTACTGAAAGAGATATTGCTGTTTTTTGTTTTTTTTTTCTTTACCTTTGCCTATTTTTGCTACAGGCACAAGTGTGAAGAATGTGGCAAAGCCTTCAAGATCCAAAAGCAATTGATCAACCATCTCCGTCTCCATGAAGAACACCGAGCCAAAGGCCTTGTTCGGACCGGCCCAAACGGTTCCCGCTTCCAGCAGCCTGACCCATCTCAAATGCAGACTATGAGAGGGGAGCCATCGAAGGGCCAGGTGATGGGGGTCAAATACAGCCACCAAGGGTTCAAAAAGCCCTACTCGTCAGCCGGTACTTCCAGACCCCAGAAGTTTGATCCTGCCGAAAGTGCACGGCGGCCGTTTGCCTGTGAAGAATGTGGAAAGACTTACCGCCATGCGGGCAGCCTGGCCAATCACAAGAACCTTCACAAAATTGGAGAGTACCACTGCAATGTTTGCAACTCTACATATCCGAACAGGCTTGCAATGAAAAACCACCTTCGTCTCCATTTTGCCCAAAAGAAGCACAACTGCCAAGAGTGTGGCAAGGGCTTCCGCACCCAAAGGCAGCTCGCTACCCACACTACAGCCGGCCTGTGCAAAGGCCCACAAGGCCCTGGCGCTCAGATGGATTTCGAGTGCGACGGCTGCTGCGAAGGCTTTGCCACAGCTGACGAGCTCGCGGCTCATGACTGTCCAGCCCAGCACCTGCCTTCATCGTCCTCCACCAACACCTCGACAACCATCAGTACCGAGAAGAACTCTGTAGACATGGACTCTGACGAGAGGCCCTATGCCTGCGACCTATGCAGCTGCGCCTACAAACACGCCAGCTCCCTGTTGAACCACAAGCACACCCACAAGACCGGAAACTTCAGGTGCAACTTCTGCGACAAGCCCTATACCAACTACATGGCTCTACGCAACCACATGCGCATCCACACGCAGCGGAAGAAGCACATCTGCCACACATGTGGGAAAGCCTTCCGACTGGCCCGGTTCCTCCGCAACCACCAGAAAGTCCACGAGGAAGGCGCCACCCCGTTTGGCTGCCCCACCTGTGGGAAGAGTTTCCAGGGGAGGTCCGGTCTGGCCAGGCACCGCTGCGGGGACAACCAGGTAGGCATGGAAGTCAGGAGGAAGGCCACTGCACCCACGGGAGAGGGCGAAGAGTGTCGGTACACGTGAGTTCTCGTCAGTTGTTTGTGATTCTTCGAAGTTGAAACAAACAAATAGTGAAGATAAATTTAGGTCTCTACATGTCTATTACAGGTATATGATCTCCAATCCGGCTTCCTTGGGACCATACGCGTGCCGGAATTCGGATTTTTCTGAAGTTTGGACAAATTGAATTAGTGGAGAGACCAGATAAGTCAACCCCGTTTGCTTACAGTTAGCATATATCAGACATTTTTAGGCTAGCCTCAGTCAAACATGTCATGTTCAGATGTACTGTTTACATGCTTTGTTTTTTTCGAACTCTTTAAGTAGTATTTTGTGTGCAGCATATTGAAGTGTTGATGTTGTGTGTTCCTTGCTTCTGTTCTGATTTTGATTGCAGTCTTTGTGTTTATTCTGACACTGGTTAGCTAATAGATTAGGAACTGCAGTTATGTGATGGGGCTGTTGCATTTTGATGTTCTGAAAGGGAAGATTAGGAAGTATTTGGAGCTAGCTGCACTGCACATGTCCACAGGTCACCAGTCTTAACACCTACAGGAGTCTTGATGCATGGTAGTGGTTCTTTGGGCATGTTTGATGGTTTCTCATCACTACATTCAGTATCCAAAGAAGGCTGAGACAGAAGGTTGTTTTATTTGTGCAGTGCAGGGAGCAGCAGATACCTTCCAGTTCCCTACACTTGTTTCTCCATAGTGTCTCCCATGTCCCTCCCTCCCTCACCCACCCAGCAGTCCTCTCCCCTATGACCTGTGTAGAAATCATTAATGGTACACCACTTTGTAGACTTCTTTGAAAGCTTTGAGCCGGATTTCAGATCATATACCTGTATGTGCAACATCCTAGATGATGACTAGTAAAAATACTTGAAATACTTCTCCAGAAAAAGTGGTAACCAGATGAATTTGGCTACAGCATTGAAATCGGACATCCATGTTCCGTTGCTAATCTCCTTCCTCTCTCCTCCACCCCTCTTCTTTGTTTGTCCCTGCACAGATGTGATCAGTGCGGCCGTTCCTACCGCCATGCCAGCTCCCTCCTCAACCACAAGAACACCCATACTGTCGGCATCTACCACTGCGCCGTGTGCCTCAAGACCTACTCCAACCTGCTTGCCCTGAAGAACCATCGCCGTATCCACTCTGAGACGCGGCGCCACCGATGCCACGACTGCGGAAAGGCCTTTCGAGTTTCCTCCCAGCTCTACAACCACCGGCGTGTACACCAGAAGCAGCGGGAGCTGACCTGCCGGTCCTGCCAGCGAGCCTTTCCCACGCAGGCTAGCTTCAGGCTCCACATGGAGATCACTCATGGCCAGACACCGCAGCCCCGCCAGCCCAGAACCCAGCAGCCCCGCCCAGGGGGCTCCCAGGACCTGGGCTGGGGGTCAGGCCTGGACCTCACCCTGATGCAAGAGCAAGGACTCAATCCCAGCAACGTCGCCAAAGTCCGCGGCCAAGGGAGCAACAGCGAGGTCGTCAAGTCCCATGTCTGTGACCAGTGCGGTCGCTCGTACCGCCACGCCAGCTCCCTGCTCAACCACAAGAACAGCCACAAGACCGGGACCTACTTCTGCAGCTCATGCCAGAAGGAGTTCCCCAACCTGATGTCCCTGAAGAACCACCGGCGCATCCACACTGAGCCCAAACGCTACCAGTGCCCTGACTGCGGGAAGTCCTTCAGGGTGTCCACTCAGCTCATCTGTCACCGCCGCATCCACACCAAGGAGAAGCCGTTCTCCTGCCAGCAGTGCGACAAGCGCTTCTCCTCCAAGTCCAACCTGAGGCACCACATGAAGGTGCACTGGAGCGGCTCATCGGCGCCTCCACCCATGTCCATGAGAGCGCCCAACTTCCTGGGTATGCCTGGCGGCCCCTTCATATAAGCTGCAGGGTGAGGGGGGGGGAGGTGGTGGTGATGATGGTCTTAGTGGGGCTGGGGGAGGGGGGGGTCACATGCCGAAGATTGTGGAGGTGCCAAAAATGTAGCGTAGCCTTCCTCATTGACCATGTGTGGCTGTGGTGTGTGTGGAGGACAGACTGACGTGACGCCCCACACACACGCACGCACACACAGACACGCACACACCCTCACAGAGCACTATGCTGCCCCGCACGCTGACTGACAGGCAGACTGGACTGACCCCCTGCTGCATGTTGCCTTGTTATGTTTCCCTGCCACGGACTGGTGCACCACGAGGCCGCAGCCATCAAGCTGCACCCAGATGGAGCGCGGGAGTCTGATTGGTCCTGTTTCTGATGGTGTTTACAGGACGTTTTCTTCCCGTGGCCTTCGTCACAGTGTTTCTAATCTGGTCTGGAGAGACTGTTTTGATCAACAGCGTGCAGGCCAGATTCGTGTTTTGTACCTTTATCCTTTTGGCCTGGAGGCAGCAAGGACTTGTGGGAACTTTTAGGACTGAACATGGACACTTTGGACTCAGAGGGACTGCTTTAAACGTGTGTGTGTATGTGTGCGTGTCTTCTTGTGTGTTGCAGCGGTGACCACTTCCTGACTTCTTGTTCACACGTGTGGACCCGGAGCTGAGAGACCGCTGCGGCTTGCGTGCGGTTTAAAATGGCCCTTCTCCCGTAGCGCCTGAAGTTTGATTAAAGACGTGATCAGTTTTTAAAAAGAGGGTTTTCAGACTTCCTGTAGCGCGTCCTGTTTGTGAACACGCTAATGCTGTGAACGGAACACGTGTCATATGTTCAAACCAAACGTTCTCATGTGAAAATGACTGTTGGAGTGGTCGTGGACCATTTCACCGCCCACTAATGGGCAGCGACAGGGCGTCTGTGTAAGATGAAGAATCACAAGACGACTCCTTTTAATCTGATCATCAGCTGATTGGCGTTTAAATATTTTTCCTCAGGCCTCCGTCTTATCACACCAGCAGAGTTCATACCTCAGTCTGATTTTATATCCAGTTTTTTATATTATTTAAACTTTATTTAAACGGGGATGTTCGTGGGTTGGTCCGAGCTTTCATTTAGGAAACTGTACATGCAGCGAAGTGTCCTGATTTAATTTCACCTCTTTGAAGCAACAAAAAAGAAAAGAGAGAATCTCCTCCTTTCATTACGTTTCCTCACCAATCAGCAGACAGCATGACACTAACAGGAAACAACCCGATCAAAGTATAAAACAACACGGAGGAAGTCCAAGTCCACCAAACTAACTGAATGTATTCAGACATTTGCACCAAGTCGAGAGTAATACGTTATGTTTCGGTTATAGTTTGGGTCTCGTCTGCCTCCACGTCAGCCTCACGAACCGTTAAAAAGTTAGCGTAGTTTAACAAAAATCATATAACAAAGGTTAACGGTGCCGCCGTGTCATTGTGTAAGAACGTTGGTCTACACACAGCCGATCACTACACATCGTTAATTATCCTTTCACTGTTAAATATTAAAGGTTAATTAACTGTCAGTATTTTAAAACGTTTGCTTCCTTTGCTCGAGCTCCTACAGATTTATAGATCAGAGACTTCCTGAAGGAGGAGGTTGGAGGAAACACTCAGGAACATCAGCAGGAATGACGGCTGCTTCCCTTATTTCTCGTTTTAGGCGTCGTTTCATTTTCAGTGCAGGGGGAAAAAAACCGTTTTGGTGGTTGAATGCGTCAAATGGTTCAAAGTGAGTAAAAGACTCGGAGCTTCCAAACGACCTTCGACCTCACGACGGACGCTAAAATAAACGTGTCAGAGAGTGAAACTGAATCCAGCTGTTTGGAAACAGACATGTCGAGTTAGTGTTAAATAATCGTGTTCACGAGATCCACTCTTTCAACCCCAGAAGGATTTGTTTTTAACAGATGGCATTAACGCAACAAACCCATGGACTTCCTGTCTCACAGGGGCGCTCTCGAGCTCTTCCAGAATAAATGAGACTGTGGAGCTGAAAAGCACTCGTCTGGTTTTAGGCAGAAATCCTCGAGACGGTAGATTCACTTCCATTTTTACAGTTCTTTTAGTAAGACACATTTTTGTGAGTGTGATGTCACAGCGCCACGAGCCAGAAGCAAACGTAGCCGGTGTGATGTCACCCATTTTCTTGCTGCCTCGCCTCCATCTGAACCGAAGGTGTTTAATAAGGAAAGAAGAACGTTTTATTGGTGTCTGCAGGTGTCGCCTCCTGGTGGTCATCATGTAGAGCGCAGTTTTAAGGCATCTTTTTAAACTCAGAAGCTACGAGCAGCTTTTATTCCTGCGGGTCACAGGAAGTGGAAATCTCAGCAAAAACCAATAAAAATCCTTCAACTTTCATTAAAAAAACACGAGGGAAAACAATCCCCTGTGATCGATCTCCATGACAACACTCAGACCTCTTTGCTGTTTGCAGTGAAAACGACCCTCCCCTGCCCCCGGTGTTCAGTAGGTGTAACTGCAGCGTAAAAAGCTTTCCGGAAACCAACAGCTCCACCTTGAACTGTCCGTTCTCGCGCTTTACGTCCACACGTATGAACAGGAAGTGACCCCTCCCCTCCTCTCTCCAGCCCCAGTAAGTATGATAAAACAAAAAGGCGAGGCCTGAGCGGCGGGAGGCGAGCGGCTGTACGAACTCGACGTTTCTGCAAGAAGGAAAAAAGATGACAGATCATGTAGTAATTCATTTATTTATATTATCATTATTATTAACACTTGTAATGGACAGCGCTAGTGTTTAGGATGTGAGTTTAGAGCTGTGTTGATGTAAACACCCCGCCCTCCTTTTACCCACAATGCCCCTCTCTGTGGACTCCACTGAGGACCTGAAACACGCCGGAGACGCTCTTCTTGCCTTCTTTCACGAGTGATGATGTGACGCTCCTTCATCCCTCTCTTCTTCCATATTTATCTCCTCCTCCTCTTCATCAAATCAGACTGAAAGGGACGCCTCGGTGTGCTCGCCGACCTTTCTGTTCCTCTTTATGGTAACCTCCTGTATTTATTGGTGTTTTGTTCCTTTTTATTTAATTGTTTGGGAAGCGTGTGTGTGTGCGTGTTTTCAGCACTGGTGCTAGTTTAAAAAGAAAAGTTAAAAGTGAAGCCGTGCAGTGACCGTCAAGTGCTGTAGGAGTCCGTGTGATCTAGAACACAGAAGTAATAAATGTCCATCCTCCGTCTGGTTGTCCTCGCCATGCCTGCTCTTCTCTGTGTCACACTTTCCGCCTGCATTTCAACTAGTTTGTAGAGAAGAAGAAGAGGACTGGTTTGGCACAACTACTACTCCCCGCCCCCCCAACCCCCACCCCCTTTTTTTTTTCTTTTGTTTGAGTTCTAACTTTTGGTTTCCATGCATATATATGTAATGCTTACTATACACTTTTATAAACTATGTTTTGATAATTCATTTCGTAACAGAAGATCTTGTCCATAAACTATAACCCTACTGCTGAGTACTGAAAATAAATAGCTGAAAAACACAGTGACACTCGGTGTTTTCACTCCGTCCACATCGACGTCTCTCCCGGCACCTTCACTGGTGTTGGCAGGAAGTTGGTGCAGAACCTGCTGAATGCATCTCCAGCTTTTAGTATCAGAGTGCAGACGGTCTGAAGGTTTTTACAGCGTCAGTGAAGTAAAGTTGTTTTCACACGACTATGAGTCTAATGTTTGTGACACACACAGCTGCTATTACCGTATTTTTTATTTATTTATTTATTTTTTGGACCTTAAGGCGCACCGGATTATATGGCGCATTAAGCGAAACAAAACAGACTCATTCTTCTTGCTTCCTCCACTTCTGTACCATTGATTCATTAATGCTGTATTCTATCACAGCAGCTCTGTTCCCGTGTTGTTGCAGTAAATTAATGACTAACCTCGTATTGTGGATGAATAATCTCAGTTGTTCTGACTGAAGTTTGGTCCGTTTACAGCATCCTGCCATGTGATTGCATTTGTCTCTAACCATCAGGAACCCTCACATTAACTTTTATCGAGTGGAAAGAAGTTAGCGTTCATCCTCCAGCTTCACTGTGTTTATGCTAACATAGCTGTTTCACTAGCGATCATGTAGCACATCATTATATACCAGCTAGCCCAAGGACCCAGGACCCAGATTCCTCCGTGAGGCTCCAACAATCCATCAAGCAGTGCGGCTTCGTAGCTACCAAAGTCGTACTAAAACATTTTTTTGACAGATTTTTGAGCGCCGTGTAGCACATAAAATCGGTTCAAGGTCAGTAAGCACAACCAGAATTCATACATAAGGCACACTGTCAATTTTTGAGAAAATAAAGGATTTTAAGTGCGCCTTATAGTGCAGATAGTACGGTAATAAAAATCCAGGTTTCACTCACTGAAGGAAAAACTGCAGTTTTTATCCCATAAATGATGTTTGCTCATTATTAGATGTGTTTAATTACTATTAATAAGTTACTCTGAGTCACAATGATAATTCAGCATCACTATGTTGTTAATGTAAAAGCTGACAGCACAGAGTTATGAAATGTGTGACAGAAACTTTAAGGTTTTTCTGGGTCATCACTGATGATTTTGGATCTTTGGACACTTCTCCCCCAGGAAACAGCCGAAGGTGTTATCATTAAGTTATCATTAGTTCATAATAAGAGCAAACATACAGCTTTGTCGGTTAAAAGACGATCGAGTCGCTGACGTATAAATGGGTTTTTTGTTTTAAGGCAGGGGTGGGGAACTCCAGGGCCGGTGTCCTGCAGGTTTCAGATATCACCCTGAATTAAATGAGTTCATTAACAGGCCTCTGGAGAACACATGTAAATCATCTGTGTGGATCGAGGACACGTTTAAAACCTGAGCACATCGACCCTCGAGGCCTGGAGTTGGACACCCCTGATTTAAGGCACCAGTAATTATGTTTGTTAAATGAAATGATTTTGTAATTTTCTGATGTTTATCTGAGGATTTAATTCATGTGTTTATTTTCTGCAGTCTAATGTTGATGATGACAATCTGATCTTTAATTCACACTAAAAAACATAATCACGTAATTAAAGTGTTTTAGCGTTTATCGGACACGTAGTCGTGTGACACGTTTGTAGTTTATCAGTTTATAATGAAACTCTTCACATCCTGTGACTTTAATTCCTTTTTTAGAAAAATCTCACGAGCGTCAAAAACGTGATGCCGTTCATTATGGTCCTGCATATATAACCCATGTATGTGTTCACGTGGCTCACACCTGTGCAGGGCTTTGACAGCTGAGGAGACAAGATAAGAGGTACGGAAGCAGCCAATCACAGGAGCTGCAGGCAGTGCGTGACAGGCGTAACACAGGTGTTACTGTTCAGATATTTCCCATCAGTGTTACCTGAAGGAAGCTCGAGATGGTTGCACAGCACACTCCCTAAAATAAACCCTCCGGCTTTGCTTCGTATTCGGCCGGTCGTTCTCGTCACTGACTTGATAAATGACACACTCGAGCCGCTCGTTTCAAAATTCCAAAGAGAAGTTTGGAGGCTTTGGGGGTGTTTTCCAGCTTTTCCTGGTTGGAAAATTGGAGTGACAACATAATATTCCGACTCTGTGATTGGCTGATCTGACAGTGAGCTTCAGAGCCGACAGACCCTTTGTGGGTTACCCTGAACTGAAACCTTCGTGTTTCTCTCCTCCCAGATCTGAGGCCGGTGGTTTCGAGCAGCAGCTCCAGGAGCTTCGTCTGCGGCCAATGCGGTCGCTCGTACAGCCACGCCAGCTCCCTGCTCAACCACAAGAACAGCCACAAGACCGGGACCTACTTCTGCAGCTCGTGCCAGAAGGAGTTCCCCAACCTGATGTCCCTGAAGAACCACCGGCGCATCCACACTGAGCCCAAACGCTACCAGTGCCCTGACTGCGGGAAGTCCTTCAGGGTTTCCACAGCACTCATCTGTCACCGCCGCATCCACACCAAGGAGAAGCCGTTCTCCTGCCAGCAGTGCGACAAGCGCTTCTCCTCCAAGTCCAACCTGAGGCACCACATGAAGGTGCACTGGAAGAGCCCGCTGCTGTCCAGAAGCCGGTCTTCGGCCTTCCTTGCCGTCTCCTCCAGACCTTTCTGACCATCCGGCCTCGCAGTTCTCCTCCGAGCTCGTCCAGTCTGACAGACCCGGACAGCATCGTCTCCTCCAACATGCTCAAAAGCCGCAACATAAAAAAGGCGACGAATACCACACCGGACTAGGTGTGGCCAATTAGCACCATCTGAGCACATTGAGGAGATTAGGGGCTTGCTAGGGGCGTAACAAACAATATGACCGTATAATTCAACCTCAATTTAATCCTTCCGGCTGAAATCTGAACTAAGATCCACATTCAGGAAAGTTTCCCCAAATCATTTTGTGATGTCACAGTTCAGAGGGCGAATCAGCAGAGATCCTCACGTACCTGTTAGCTGCCTCGGCTGTTATCCTTACATTAAACTAACGGAGAGCTTGGTGCTCATTGATTGGCTGGACTAACCGTGTCAGACTTTTGGTTTACATCTGGTTTCGATTTTTTCAGTTCCTGTCTGGTGAGATTAGGGCACCAAAACCTGATGAGGCTGAGGTTCAGCTTAGATTAGCTAGACACAGATGTCCTGTGGTGGATGGACGACGTGGCTCGGCCAAGCCGTAAATATGGTGGTGACGATGGTAAATGGCCTGTGTTTGTATAGCGCTTTACTAGTCCCTAAGGACCTCAAAGCGCTTTACACATTCAGTCATTCACCCATTCACACACATTCACACACGATGACTTATAATGATCTTTTAACAACCTGATGACATTTGAAGTGGCTGAGTTGAAGCAGCGGCCTGTAGTTTGTGTAGTTATCAGGCAACCTGATGATCTTTGTTAGCCAGTGTATAACTGATGGATGTCGTCCGTTGGTTTCTGAATGTTTGAAACCTCGTTGTTGGCGCCGTGTTGGGTTTGAAGTGGCCATATTTGAATAACAGCTGGGTTGTTATCACAGACTGTTTGGGGAGTGTCGCACAGACGGAGTTACCTGCTAACCAGTGCTCAGTAACATCCAATGAACAATCTCAGATTTCACTGTGCACCTAAACTCTTGCCCCGCCTCCTCAGACCGTCTCTTAGCAGCAGACGTATTATTGGTCTGAAGCCTCACAGACAGCTAGCAGCCACAGCCGCCTGTGTCACCATCCATCTGTCAGTCAAAGAGGCCACGCCCCCATACATAGCAGACCACATAAAACTGGAGCCATGCAGCTGTTTAGTTGTCTCTAGTGGATGTTAGAGAAAGTGCAGGTCGCCTGCGTTGCCCAGGAAGTGTAAAACTAAATGTTTAGCATTTCCAGCGTTTCTTTGATAGAATATTTCATCATGTCCACCAACTGCAGCAGATTTAAGCAAGTCAGAGGAAACTGAAACCCTCACAGCTGGTGTTCAGGTTTGCTGTGTGACGAGGACCTCTCCGGACTTTTGCTCCTGGTGGGAACTCGAGTTCCTCCCCGGCGATACTAACGGTGCTCAGGTCTTTGACCCCGCCTCAGACAGACCTCTCTGACGGTTGGCATGTTCTGGCTCCTCGGCAGCAGACACCAGGGGGATTGTGGGTCTTTTTAAAAATTTTTCTCAGTGTTTCTGATTATTGCTAAGGATGAAAACTCATCATCTTCCTCAGCTGTTGCTGTACCCCCGAGGGGAGGCTGAAATCTGACGTGTGGTTTGTGAACTTTCTGGAGGCCTCTGTTCACCTTCCTCCTCACCTGGTCCCCAAAATAAAATCCAGTTAAATATGGAGGCCCAGTGCTGTCACTTCAAAGGAGAAAATTGATCTCGTAATAATAATAATTTTTTTCTTATAATGATGTGAAGTTTTCTATTTTTTTCTTTGTAATTATAACATCAAGTAACTGTTTAGGTTTAGATGTTTGTAGACGAGCTCTGGTGTGTAAACTAAAGCTCTGATAGGTACTTAGGTGATTACTATTAGAGAAATAAATGACGTCATACTGTGTGATAATCTGGAGAGTAATTTGTGAGATTATATCGGTTCATTTATCTCCTCGTCTGGATTTTGAGGTTTTTTTCTGTGATAAATCTGAGAGAAACGGATGAAACGCAGAAATGTTTCCCTGCACGCGTCCATCAGAGGTTGGACGCCACTGTGGGTTTCCTCTGTGGACGAAGCTGGTGTCAGGAGCCACGCAGTTTTGTCTCTGAGGAAAATCAGTGAAAAAACAGACAAGCAGAGACAACAGTGCACCCTCGACTTCAGTCAGACTAACTGGAGTTTGGACCACAAGCCTGTGACTGTCAGACACAAACTAAGATGGAGAACACTGACGGTACTGATGTGATGCGTTTGTAGCTGATTCTTTAGGGACTTCCTGCTCATCTCTGTATCTCTGTGTCTATTTCCTCCCGTTAGCGCTGTGTTATTCACGGTTTTTACAGTTTTACATTCACAGTTGACCCTCTGCGTCTTTACAGCTGTCTGGTAACTCGTTCATGTCTAATTAAAGCATAGTGGACCCAAAACCGAACCTTGTGGAACTCCCGTTTTCTAATGTTCGAGAGACATGAAATAACGTGCTGCTGTAACCTCAGAGAGCCGTGAGAACACGCGAGATCAGGTTGGTTCAACCCAAGTATTAGTGTGATTAATTACTTGTTTAGATTTAGACTTTTCTGTTGTTGCCACTTCCACCCATTTGATAAAGCGGGTTGGTCAGCGTCTGGAAGCCTGCCGAGGGGCTGTACCCCTGTCATATGTATATGTTTTGGGGATGCCCTGTTGTCCCAGACGTCAGGGGTGGATCTAGAGACATTTCTTAGGGTGGCAAAATCAAAGCCGTTATTTTACACACTTGCAGGTGTTACATCCTTTAATATGAATTATACACTGTTATAAAACATCAAATGCAGTAAGTATACACACGTTTCGTATAAATATACTCTAACTTTTTCTTACCCCACATAATTAAGCATTTCAGTTACATAAAATGTGAATTTTGATTCTGTGTTTAGCCTGGATGGTCTAAGCAGCTTGGAAAGAAAGCTTGAAAGAAAAAAAGCATCTGGGCTTCTTTTTTTAAGTTTTCTTGAAGACGTTTCATTAAAGAAGCTTTTTCAGTTTTAAGCGCAATTGGTGGAGAGTCCCAGATTTTAAGCCCTATGGGAGTGTCCGCAAGAGGGTCATGGATCCCCTATTGGTCCTCTACCTAATGGGGGGGTCCATGACTGAAGAAGCTTCTCGAATGAGAGGTGGGACGTCCAGACTTTTCTTTCCATGCTCCTTAGGCTACAATGACCTGGATGGATGACTGAGAACCTTCACAAACATAGCCTGTATCATAAATTAAGCATGCAGAACATATAGAAAGCTACATTGTTGCTTAAATGTACACAAAATGTCAGAAATCTACAGCATCATGAAACATTTTTCACCAGAACTGTAAACCTATTTTTTCATGATGTATGAGGTTAACCCTCCGGGCTCCAGGGTATAACTGCTCATTATTTACTACAGTTTGATTTTACCTTTAACAATATTTTTGCCTCACATGTCTGAATTGACAGTTATTCTTTCATTGACACATTGTAAAAAAAATAAAAACCAAGTAGGGAAAAAGTTATATTTTTTACCTGTTTAGTGAATCACTTTCATAACTTTAAATGCAAATATAAACTGTAAATTTTATTAACTTATGCACACATGTTGTAAACAATAAAGTTATACGAAACTATTTACCCTGATTTGCAGCCACCCTATCATTTATATAACCATTTTAAACTAAAACGAGAGAACAATCAGGTGTCACAGTTAAGATGATACTCAAATTATTCAAGTTAGTCCACAGAGGAGAGCACCACAGGCCTGACAGCAGGAGGTGCATCACTCAGCGTTTATGCTGCAATCCGTCTTTGGTGGCTTTTTGGCAGCAACTGTGATAGTGTTGTTCTGACACACACAACAAAACAAAAACTACACACTAACTACACACTCCAAACACGCTACACATCACAAAACTCGCTCTCAGCGCCATCATTCCCAAAACGTTTCTCTGTTCCTACCAAATAATTAAATCCCACATTGTTCCGTATCATTTTTATTGGTCGACATGTTTACACTTTTCCACTAGTAAGAAAAGGTGGTACGTGATTTGGAGGTGTGGCATGTTGTTTGACCCCAGAGGGTTAATAACACTCACCTTCATTTCATTTCCACAGTGTAACAACTAGAAATCTGCAAATGCCCACAGTGTTGATTCAAAATGTGCTCTGGGACAATCACAGGCATCGGTTGCTACTGACAACAAGAAATAAAGGTATGGGCTGAACCATTTTTTAGTGGTGTTGTAATATATTCAGTTTTAGAATTTATATTCAGTGCTAACTGTAGCTAAGCTCAAAGTGTTAATGCTAGCTTATGTTAATAAACTTAATTGTGATAAGCAAAGCACAAAGGGTGGCAAGAGATTATTTTAGGGTGGCACATGCCACCCCTGTAGATCCGCCCCTGGCAGACGCATAAAAACGTGAACTAAAATGTAAAACATTGAGCTGCATGTTTAAAGCCGGACTTTTATATAAAACTAAATTATTTACGAACAACTGATGTTATAAAACCTATACACGAGAGCTCGAGATCAGCTGTCCCCCAAACCAGGGCTGGACTGGGACAAAAAATCGGCCCGGGCATTTTGACTAGAGACCGGCCCACCAAAAATGTGACGTCATTCAGGGGTAAAACCGCAAAGGATTCTGGGAACTTGTGGCAAGAGGTACTAGCGCATGCAGGCTTTCAATTGAACTCAGTTACACAGCGATAAAAAGAAACACAAAAAAATGGCAAGAAGCTGTTGTATTATTACTGCAATAGCCGGTGTTGTGCCAAAAAGCGATTGTCTGCCAAAAACTGATTGCTCGTATTTAAATTGCTATAAGTAACTTGTTGGGCTATAATATGTGAAACATATGTCAAATGCATCCCTCATGGATGACATAAAGTCATCTCTCCATCTCCATCTCCAGCTCTTTTATTTCTCTCTCTCGCTCCATCTCTCTCTGCTGCTCTTCTGTCTCCTGTCACGGACTTCTCCACTTTAGATGATAAATCAGCTGGTGCAACATGTAAGGATTGGCACAATTTGTTAAGATTTTGAGGAGTTTGAGAAACTAACCTTAAGCATAAAATAAAATTTGCTATCGGTTAACTTCATAGCACCCGCCCAGCAGTATATAAACTCCGTCATGCTAGCTAGTAGCAGTACCAGTTATTCTAAGCGACTGTAAAAAGTCAGCACAACAAAAACAAACTACAACTAAACTTGGTTTATATCTGACACAGACAGCAGGTCATAACTTCTTACCTGAGGTTCAGTTCCTCTGCCACTATGACCGGCGGCCGCCTCGGGTCTCTCCTCCTCTTGCCTCCCCTTTCCCTTATCCACCTGCTGGCCTCCACCACTTGCTGATGTTGCTAAATCTGTGGAAGCTATGCCATAGCTACCGCCAAACAATTCAGTTATTTTTACACATTTGGCAGCGTCTGCCTGAAGGGCTTGTTTCCTTTTGGCCCTAATTTTTTCTGCACCTCCTTTCCATTTTTTGTTCTCCATTTTCTTTAGTTCGTCTATAAGATTGCTAAACAAGGGGGAGGGTGCATCCGACCTCCTTGGCTGTAATTGGTCCAGCCCAGAGTCGATCATGACCAATTGGCCAATCCAACACCTTTCATTATTTATACCCTGCCAAAAAAAAAATCAAAAAAAAAGAAAAATCGATCGGCCCATAAAAACAAAAAATCGCCAGCGGCCCACCGGGCAAATGCCCGGTATGCCCGATGGCCAGTCCAGCTATGCCCCAAACCAACCAAGCCAAAGATGTTTCCTCCATTTCAGCTTCTCTGCAGTGGAAATCTGTAGATTCAGTTCTCTGCTGATGACTGCGGATCAAGAATGCACATATCAAACGCGTCATTTCATTAGCTGCACTGTGCTAGTACCAGATTGGACTCCGCTGTTCTTTCAGTGGAGTCTAAACAACATGAAGAATTAATCTTTATGCTCAGATTCAGCTGCTGAGATTTGGCTCCATGTTGATGTGACATCATCGTGAAATCATCACACAGCTGCTGCATCCATGGTGACAATCTCCTGATCCTCCACATCCCATACCTGCTCTGTCGGACTGATCTGTGACTGAGTGCAATGAACTCATCGTCATTTTCATGAAATCACTCTGAGATGATCTGAGCTTTGAAACAGGGAATCCCAGAAAGCTGATTCTGTTCATCTGGACGTTTTCAGAGGGAGAAACATCGTCATCATCAGGTGACGTCTTCAGTCTCAGCTGACTGCAGGTTTCAATCTTATAAACAGGACATTTGCACAATGACTGAAACCAGCCCACTGAAGGAACAATGGGCTGTGAGGTCAGTTTATGATCATTAATATGCAAATTCTCATGACCACTGATCAATAACCATGAGTCCCATTCACAGAGTTGGGGAATGGCTGCAATCACAGCATTGTAAGATGGTGACAGATGTACCCTTAGGCCCCTCCTCGATTCAGAGATGGTCTTTCCCTTTTCACGTAAATGGCCTCCTTGACTCCGCCCTCAAACCAGCGTTCCTCCCTGTCCAGGATGTTACATCCTCATCACTGAAAGAGTGTCCACTGGCCTGTAGGTGTGAACAGACTGCAGAGTCCTGGCCTGACGAGGTAGCTCTGCTGTGTTGTAGCCAGAGGTTGTTTGGTTTCCCTGATGTATAAATCCTGGTAATCCTCCTGCACTTGACAAATGTCCAGCTGGAATAACCACATTTACTCAGGGCCTTCTTGATGGTGCCCCCCATGTTTCTACCTGTAGTACTGACCCATGTAGCCTCAGTGTCCTGTTCTTAATGACAGTGTGACACTGGTGTGGTCTTCTGCTGCTTGAAGGCTCAGAGATGCTCTTCTGCACATTGATTGAGGGTTTAGTTAACTGCCTGTTGCCTACCTATCAGCTGAAAGTGGTCAACAACCACGTGCCACCTTCAAGGTCTTTGAAATCACGTTTCTTCCTCACTCTGAGGCTCAGCTTCATCACGTCCACATACCTGAATGCACGTGCTGCCGCCCTGTGTTTGGATGATTAGACGTTGGTGAGCAGCTGAACAGGTGCAGCCGACATGCAGGTACTTTCCCAGTAAACGAAGCCTTTAAATGCTCACACCTGCAGCCAGGTGAGTGCGAGAGATTAAACAGAGACAAAGCAATAAAGATCCGGAGACGCTGCGAGGGTACACTGAACAATCCTTTTCTTTATTCTTTTTTGTTATCATTTCAATATGTCTGTCAGGGTTTGTTTTTTTTTAAGTTTTTATTTTAAATTAAAATTTTGACACACTTATAAAAGACAGCATCTGCATAGAGTTGTCATCTTAAAGATCCATGAAGAGAGAGAGAGAGAGAGAGAGAGAGAGAGGAGGGGGAGAGCGAGAGAGGGCGGAGGGGGCAGGAGAGAGGAGGGAGTGGGCAAGGGGTGAGGAGGTGGGGGGAATACTGGCACGTCACATGAACTAAACAGAACAGCCAACAGCAGTACAAGAGAGGGGGGAGGACGGGGGAGGCGGGGGCTGGAGGGGGCAGGGTCGGGGGGAATGTTTTCTTTCTGGAGGGGGGAGAGGGTTGGGGTGGTGAGGTGGAGTGGGGGGGGGACAGATCGCTTTTACATTACGCTACGCACACATACACACACAAAAAAAACGGGACACAAGTTGCATTTCCGGTCAAAGTTGCGCGCGGCGCCCCTGTCCTCTCTCTTATTCAGCGCTTTGCTTTTTTCTGACCTCAGGGCTCTGCCTCCACCTGCCGTCCCCCTCCCCCGAGATAGCTTTGTTCCTCACTCATCCCACGCCCTAAAAATCAGGTGGGGTTCACGCTTCTGCTGTCGCAATTACAGCGTCTGAAGTTCCCGTGCCATGGCCAACGCCTCTGCATGATAAAGACAAGCCCTTGTTTCTCTGAATATTGCACGCTTCGTCAGGTTAGGCCTGTGTGAGGCTAGAGAGCGGGCCTGAAACCAGGTGGTGGCGCTGGTGGCCGTGGCGTGGAGGTGACGCTGAGCCGTCACACCAGGTGAAACCACAGGAAGTGGACCGCTTCACCTGCGTGTCGTCTGGAGCTGAGACCTCCTCCAGGAACTCGTGAGGACTAAACGATGGAAAAGCCACGCAGAAGGAAGACTGCGGCGGCAGACCGAAGGTCATCTAACCATCTGAGACGACGATTCTTCTACTAAGATGGACGACTCCATTAACGTGCCGAGTCTCGGTTCTGACGGGCGTAAGCAACCTGGCACCGTAACACCAAGCCACTTTCGCCAGTCAGATTGTTTACAGTGCAGCAGGATGATATTGGATATGGCTAAGTGCTGGCAGGTTGAGTCTGTTCTTTTAGACCTAGGCTCAGGCTAAACTCTGGGGAAGCAGTCAGGTAAAGAGGCGGAGCTTTCGGTGTGTCGTTTGGCGAGCTTGCTTCAGCTGAGATTGAACAGGACGGCGAGAGAGGGAGAGTTTAAAACTGCTAACTTGGCTTCCAAAGTGACGTGCAGGTGTGGCCTGGAAAGCCCTGAAGGCGGGCTTAATTTTCCTAATATGGAGGGAAGCACTTTCATCAGAGGAGCCAGTGGGTGGAGCCTCTGGACCTGGGGTAACAGATGGAGGCGTGGCTGCATTTGTGCCGCAAAAACCTGTGTGGTGTTTTCATTCGCTCCTTCAGAAAGAAACTAAGAGACACGGGCACTCAAAGGGACGGCGGCACCGCTCAGCGGGCGTCCTGCTACTAAAAACACCGCCGTGCCTTCTCCATCCACAGGTGGGCGCAGACACAGCTTCTGAACTGAGCGTGTGCAGACGCGACAATAGGAAGCCAAGTTTCTCCTAGTCTCTGCTGTCGCAACTCAGCTGCACGGTACAAACAGAGGGGGCGCCACAGCAAGGGCGGGCGAAAGAGGACAGAGGCCGGCCTACGTGCAGACTTTGACGGGAATAGATATCTCAGTAGATTTATACATAGACATGCAAGTCATTTTTTCTCTCTTTGAAGTTATTTACAATAATTACATAACACAAAGAATCCAGTTTCAGTTTGACAAAATTGCGAGCATTCAATATTCAATATGACTACTATTATTATGATAACATAACTCCTTTGTACTTCTTTAAATCATTGCTATTATAGAATCGTCATCACCTCCATTTTTAAAGTTGATTCGATCACGTTGTGTGAAGCCGTTCGGTCTCCCTCCGGGTTTTTGCAAATGTTTACTGCATCTTTATTTGTCTGTTTGGTAATAATCATAGTAATAACAACAGTAATAATGAGGATAACGATGTTATTTCAGTGTCTTTCCTACTTGTTATGGCAGGGGTGATTGTGGGCGTGGTCTGTCTCTATTGCCCCTCCCCTAACCCCTCCCACCCCTCCCACTAGAGAACATAAACACTGTTTAAAGTGAATACTGTCGGAGAGCAACGGGACGAGCGCGAGCGCCAAATAAAGAACACTGAACATGTTTGTGATGTCATCACCCAGAGCGGGGCACCGAGCACGTTTTGGTTTTTCACAATAGTTTCAGGAAGACAAAAATCAGCGTGGAGGCGGCTTAACTGCGCCACAGCGGAGGAGCGACGAAGCGGCAAAGACAGACGCCGCTGTGCTCACGAGTCAGCGTGCAGAAATAACCGCAGAGCGCTGGAACGCGACTCCCAAGTCAGGGTCGGCCCACACCGCATTACTCCCACACGGGCTAACGGCTAATGGCGTCTTGCGTGTCGCGCTCAAACTCTCTTCACGTGATTTTTTCCAGCGTTGTGCGCCCGCTCTGTCAGAAATGGAAACAACAGAAAGGCTGAACGGCGGCGAACATCCAGATGTGACTCAGATTTATGTTTGTTTGTATTTTTGTTGCGTACACATGTGATGTCACACGACTGCAGTCGGCCTCTCGCACAGGAAGAATGCTCGCTGGAGGATCTGAGATCAACCTTTGACCAAATCTGCTGATGTTTAACTTTCTCTCTCCGGCTGTTCGGAGGTATGTGGGGGGCGTGGCCTGTAACCCTGCAGAGGAGCGTTGATCCTGCAGCGTGAAGACGCAAACCAACTGGGACTCACTTCACGGATGTGTCATGTTTTCAGTTCGGACTCTGAAGGTGGAGGGAGAGAGGCGGGTCGGTCTGATTGATGGCAGTGGAGGGGGTGGGGCTTTTCTATTTGTATATTTATTCTCTGTTTGTAAACTCGACTCGCGTTGTGCTCTTTGAGATTAGCGGCGAACATTTGGAGGGGAGGGCGGAAATGCTTTGGTCTGAATCGAATCAACGCCACGGCGGTAACAGTGATCATGGCGTCTGCAAGCTTCTCTCCTCGCTTCTGTCGCAATCTAAAAAAAAAAGTGGAATTTTGAAACCTGCTGCAACCCGCCCACCTGCGATTGGACGCTTCGCACACTGAAACACACTCGTGCTGCTTCAACACGCACACGCACACACACAAATGCAACAGTGGAAGCGAACACGCAGACATCGGGAGGTGACGGAGGCGTCCGAACCCGGCGGGAGGGCTGGAGTTCGTGGGATGGGAATTTAACCTTTCACATTTATTTAAACATCACACCGGTCTCTGAAGAAAACATCGTAAAAATGACGCGTCACAAACGAAAGTAACTGTGAAGTGTTTCCATAGAAACCAAACGGGGTCTGATTGGCGGTAAAGTGCACGACGTGAAGGGTGAGGCGGGGAGGTGGGGTACAAAAAACACCATCATGCAAACTCCACAACGCTTTTGCATGCCTTTTTTATTACCATTATTATAAGTAGTACACACAGTGGGATGGGCGGGGTCTGCAGGGCGAAGGGAGGGGGCAGACTCCGACCCTCTGCGCCATCTTTTTGTACAACCAAACATCTACAGCACGACAGGAAGAGACGAGAGGACGGGGCGGGCAGACGTGCCGACGACCATTTGAACCTTCACTTAGCCAAATCTCCAACTGTTGCCTGCGTGGGTTTCGTGAGGTTTTGTCCATGTTTTCGAGAGGATGGCGGCGGGACCCGACAAGTGACCGCCACGCAGGAGCGGGAACTTTACAGAAAACAAACACTCACACATGGCAAAATCAGTGTCAACAAGCTGGCTGGTGCTATGACGGCATCCTCGCATCCACCACAATCACCAACCCGAGACTGCCGCGACGACTGCGACGCCGCCTGGACAACCGTCAACCGCTCGAACGAACAAAGAACGATGAACGAAGCAGCCAATGGGGACGTGGGTTTAGGTTCTCTAAATGTCCGAGGGAGTCGTGAGACATGTAAACGCAGGTAAAACAAGCACACTGGTTCATATTGAATTGACAGCTCTACATGTGAAAACACCTAAAACCAGAATGGAACGAATGGGCAGAGAGAAAAGTGCGAGATCGACCTACATCTACAGACACGGCACATGACCACACATCTGCTGGGCTCTTTGGAGGAGTCGGGGCGGGGACGGTGCCTGCGAAGCTTTGGTGAACGCGCGTTATGTTTTGGTTTTGGGAAGCCAAGAATGAAACAAAGCCTAACAATCGTCTACACGGCACCACAGACATCTAAAGCTAATGCTAGCTACTGTGATGGGTAAGAAAACACGTTTTCCACAAAACAACATCCGCTTTCCAACGCTCGAGCTGGCTGAGGAGGACACACGACTGTCAAACGAAAGCTAATGTCAGCTTCCTGTCGGCAGGTCTCTACAGAGCAAGGAAGCAAAAAACAGCTTTGACTTGTTATGAAAGGCGGCATGTTCTGTTTTTTAAAGCCCTGTCTCTGAAAAGCTTCAAATAATACATTTCTCAGGAAACATGAAACAAAAACTATAAGTCAGGGACGTCGGAAACCCGATCAGGGTCCAGCTAAAAGATCCAGAGCAGAACAGGTGAAACCAGAGAAGACGCCGTCAAACAAAACTAATCGTGAGCACTGAGCAGGAGGGGACCGTGAGGTTTTAAGGTGGTATTTGGTCGTCCAGCGAGGCCTCAACAGAAGCAGGTGAACCTCCGTATCACAGAGCCTGAGCGTAGACGACCCTTCCTCTTCAACGCCGCGGTCCTACATGTTAGCGCAGGCGGTGGCGCGATCTTCAACACAGCACGCAGTCCTGAGATAGGCTGTTTGCTGCGTCACATTTCTATTTTAATCAGCAGTCGCTGTAAGGAGTGACAGTCCTGCAGACGTTCAGCTAACCGCTAATGCAACAAATTCTACTCCACATTTTCAGCCGCCTTTGTCCTGATGCCAGTCTGGACAGAAACGTCTTTAATGTTTAAAAAAGGAAGAAAACTGATGACCCATCTGTAACGAGCAGCTTCTACATAATCTACACGAAACACAAGCTAACGCTACAGCATGCTATAAGCGACGCAGTCACTGGTTCGATATGTAACACGGGGAATTCGCGAGTTAGGGGCGAGTGTCCAGTGTGTCTGCATGAAAAGTTAAACATGGAGTTCATGCATGAGCTGCTGCTGCATTTAATGTACCGCGGAATTTGGAAATCAGCACTGGGAATGACATCCGAGCCATCAACGTTCCCGCAGGTTTGCTTTACTGCTTTTCCACAGAGAACGTAAAAGCAGACGAAGGCGTTCAGAACTGATTTGAACTCATGAACAACGTCATATTAATCAGAAACTTCCCAGGTTAATGAAACTGGAAATTCCAAGTTCCCGGTTGCAATTGAATGCAGCATATGTTGGGAATTTATATGAATGTATGCGTGTCACATGTTCCACCTTCCACAGAGAAAATCCACCAATAGGAACACCTTCTGCTGGTCAGTAGCACCTGTGCAACTCATGCGCTCACACAGCGTGGATGAAAAATCGCACACACACACGCACGCACACTCGGGGCTGCAGGTAGGATCTGGGCGAATGCTTTAAAACGTACAGACTAAACATTAACAGCTAAATCGTGTCAGGCCGATACGTCACGGGACGCGTCACACGCACCAAAACAGCAGCACCACGGAAACAACGAAGCAACAAACGTTCCCCATCAAGAAACGGGAAAGCAACGATATCACCGCGACACTCAGGTAACCAGGGCAACCAGCGCTTCTTAGTGTTGTAGTTACATTTGTTTTTCTTCTTTACTTTTTAATGCGTTCTCTTCATTTTTTAGGATCTTCCGGAAGAACAGCTGTGACAGCTTCGAGATGACGACCGCAGACCTGATCAGATCACCGAAATGCCCAATCCTCATTGGCTGTCCCAGTGACGGGGAGGCGTGGTTTTCTAAACTGCATAGACTGACTCTTGCTCGTCCGAACCCTCCTTCCCCATCGTTCACCTGTCAGTCAAACGTCACGGTCTTTTCTGCCGCCGGCCAATCAAATTCAGCCTGACAACCAGAGGCCCTCCCCGGCTCTTTGGTTGGATAGGTGTGACGAAAAGGGGAGGTTCTTGCCGCGGACACTCCTCCCTCCCCCGAACTCAGAGGGAAGCGTGTCACGGTCAACGTCCTTGATGCGTCCTAAATAACGTGTGGCAGGCCGGGCTTCGCCAGGTTAAGCTAATTTCATTGGCTGACTGAGGTGAACGCCAGGAGTGAGCAACCAATGAGAGGTGGTCTAAAGAGGCAGCGGTGAAACCCCTCCTAGCAACAAGGGGGCGGAGCGTGTTCTGCCAAAGCCGGAGGGTGCTCGTTCTGCAGGCTGACATTCCGGAACCTTCGGCTGCTTGTTCCCGTCTGCGCTCTGGAACAGAAAGTATTCCAGGGCGCAGCTCAGGAACGCTCCAGGGTTCCAGAATGTGATAGAAACATGTTCTCTCTCTTTTTTTTTGGGCTTTTATTTTGTTATCTGAGCTCGTTCCCAAAGGCGCTAAGCTCCGGAGCCTCGACGGGCAGAACTCCCACCCGGCAGCCGTCGCTGTCACTGTCCTCGGAGACTCCGGAAAAACGAAAGAAACTTTTAAAAAATAAGAAAAGAGGCAAAACAAGCAAACAAACAAGTAAATGCCATATTATAGGTCATCAGTTTTTACAGGTAGCTAACCCACGTGTTGCTTCATGTTCAATACATTTACATGTACATCTGTAATAAATAGGTTTATCTGTACCCTCTTTTGTATATGTAGTGTAGTCAGTCAGCTATGATGTCATGGTGTTTTCTCGTGGTTTTTTCTTGTTTTTTGAACCCCACCCGAACCCGTGGTGTTTCCTCTTATCTGTGATTGGGTCGTTATCTCTTCCTAGCTGATTGGTTATCTGTCTTGCATTTGTGTTTCAAGTTTTTGTGTCGTCGTTGGTGTTTCTTTTCTCTGCTGGCTGTCGGTCGGACGGTCGGTCAGTCGGTGTTCGGTCGTCACGGCAGCAGGTGGCGGAGCGCGTTACATGCCCAGCGTGCCACCGATGGACGACGCCAGGACCACGCCGAGGATGACACAGCAGATGATGATCATGATCTTCTTCTGCGGGGCGACGACAGAAAACAGAGCGGTGGTTAAAGATGTCAAAAGTCTTAACACCTGGATGTAGCGTCCAGCAGGGGGCAACTCTGAGCGCACAAAATTACACATCATCTCGCTCATAACACAAATGGGGGCTCATCCGGGATTCCTTACCTTGCGAGCCTGGCTCTGGTATTTGACGGCCTTCTTGGTGTCGGAGACGGCTCGCTCCACGTAGTCGACGGAGTGCTCCACGTTGTACTCGATTCTGTCAATCATCTCGCCCTAAAAAAACACACGGGAGGCAGAATTTAACTTGAACCGCCCCATGGCAGCCCTTTGACGGGCTGCATGAATTTCCTGTTGCATCACGGGACGCACCTGGCTCTCGACCAGCATGGCCATGTCGACGAACATGTCGTGCAGCTCACGGATGCTGTTTTCCAGCTTGATGATCTCAGTGTGCCGGGTCTCGATCTCGTTCAGGGCCTGCTTCGTCATCTGAGAGTCCATTTTGATCTGCGAGGCAGGTTCACACAGGTCACAACTCTGAGCAGCGATGGAGTAATTGTGATTTTTTCCACCACTCTGATTTGCTTGTTCTTTTGTTTGTTTTTAATTTTCTCTCCATATTTATTGTCATCAGATTTTTTATATCAGTGAAGTCGTACAAATGAAGTCAAGAATCGAAGATCTTCTACTCTTCTCATGTTTTCATTTATAGAAGTTATTAAACTGGTTCTATTTAGAAAAAAATGCATAAATGTTTTTAAAGATTAAATTAAATTAAAATTACATTTTATATTAATTTCAATACAATTAAAAATCTCTTGACAATATTTCAAATCAATCTTTCAAATTAAAATCATATCAACCATTTTTTGTGAAAAAATTGAGCATAAAGTATTTTTCAGCTGCTTTTCGATGGATAAGTAAAACTAATAGGATCTTCCTTTCAGATGGTTTTATTGTGGAAAAAGTGCAACTATGTGAAATATTTTTAGACTCTCTTTTGGTTCTTCTTGAGGGAAACTCTAAACTTTGATTCAAATTAAACCTTTTCAGTGCTAAAGTCTGTGCCTGCTGAATTCCTGAAAGGCTTTTAATTTGAAATTTTTGAGCTGTACTGAAGTATGTCAACTTGCAGTTAAATAGAAAGCAGAGCTGAAGTACCTTGGGAGGGTGAAAGCAGTTTAAATCTTTCGATTTAATTCATACTAAATGAAAGATTTTAGCAGTTAAACCTTCTAACAGCACATGCTGGATACAGCTGTGACCTCTGACCTCCAGTCCTTTCAGAATGACTTACCTTTTTGCTGTAACCGAACAACTGCTGTCAGTCTGTTTCTTCCTGAGCTCCTCTGGTGTCCCAGTCACTATACTGTGACGTCACAACCAGACGAGCTCAGTGCTGATTGGCAGCTCAGTGTTCAGTTACAGTCACCAGCAAACATGGGAGCTTTTAATTTGAAGGAGCAGGAATAGCATGACACAACTCCTTCAAATTAAAAACCTCTGCAGCTCCCATCTTACCCCTCCCCCTCCGTCCCCTTTCTGTCATGTGACAGTGGCCGTGTTCGCTTGATGTCTCAGCGCACCTCGTGGCCGTTCTGCATCCCAGACACTTGCCGGGATGCAGAACGGCACAGGTAACGTAAGCCGGGTGGGCTCAGGTGCGTTGCTTACATCATCAGTGAAGATGGCCAGCTTGCCACTCTCCAACATGTCCTCGAGCTCCTCGTTGGTAGTGGTTCTTCCAGCTGCAGAGAGAGAACACAGAGCAACACAGTTAGAGTCGCACAGCATCGCAGCGAGAAAACGACGAATCAGGAAAAGAAGCTGACAGAAAATGAGGTTTTGCTAAACACACCAACAGAGACACATAATCGAACAGCTGATGGCACTCAGTCACTTGAGAGTTAAACTGAATCCAGCCCGATGTTAAACAGTAAAGCTGGGACGCTGTTCTTGGACACGTTATCTTACACGCCTGAACACGATCCAACAGGAAATCTGTATGAACATAACTAATACAAGCTCTTTGGTCATGTGCTTGGTATAAACCCACAGCCGAGAGACTAAACTTACGTAGAATTAAAAAATAATCAAGGCCAGAGTTTTGGCTCATGATGAAAACGTTAATATGTTCCATGTTTTCACAGTGGCCATGTGTCCACAAACTTTTGGCCACACAGGGTAAGTCTGGCAGCTGTGTGAAGGTCAGCTGATGCTGCTGAGAGGAAAGTAGCTGCACGCGGCCTCTGCAGTCTGTACTGTTTATCTGTCTGCATCAGTGTGTGTGTCCCTGTGTGTGTGTTGTCCTGTGATGTTTATCTACACACTGTGTTGACCTCATTTATTATTTACAGCCATCAAACTGACTGAAACACCAACAGCTGCAGTTCCTGTGACGTCCAGCAGAGGCAGCGGTGAGCCAGCCCCACACGGACAGATGTGGGTTCAAACAGCAGCAGCTCTGATGTTTAGATTGTCATTATCTTCCATCCACAGGTTTGTGCTGCCTTTCTAGTCTCGCTGACCACTCAAAGCTTTATCTCACCTACAGCCAGTTCAGAGTCATCAAGACCTTCGAGCCTTCAGGTTGAGAGATGACCTCTGACCTCTGAACAACCATGGTGCTGACATACAGTAAGACTGCGTGTTGCTGGCGTGTTGTGTACTCACTGATCTCCAGCTGTCTCTGGATGCGGTCCTTGCAGCGGTCGCGGTACTTGGACTGCGTGGTGTTGTACTCAGTCATCACCTCCACGAACTTGCGTGACAATGTCGAGTGCTGCAGGAACACAGAACACTTTTACCTGGAGCCATAAATTCATCCACGTCTGCATTCATAAAAAACATCTCGGCAGTTTTGTGGTTCGTTCGGCCTCCACCCTGAAATCTACACCTGTGTGTCACACATTTAGACAAAACTATAAGATGACAATAAAACAGCTTTGAAAAGCTTAAAATGCATCAAAAGCTTTGTCTCATCAGATCATGTGTGTGTGTGCGTTCAGACATAAAGCACGCACACTGCTGTCAGTGGTGTTGCAGTTCTTTTTCTCTGCCACCAGGAGGCAGCAGGGAGCAGACTGCTGGAGAGGAGTGGGGGGAGCCAGGAGCCAATGACAAAGCAGAATACTGCAGGGTCAAATTACAGACAAATCACGAGACGAGCTGCGGAGGCGAGAGGGCGCCTGGAGAACACAAATAGCACCGAGTCACATGGTTCCTGTGAGGAGGCGCACACGCTCAGTAGGACGTTAGAACAGAAAGAAGAAAGGAAGGTACAGCAGGAAGGGAGGATCCCTGAGTGGGTGACAGCACGGGGTCAAGGGTCACCGCTTGCATGAAGGGGCTGTTAACATTTCAGCTGGAAGGGCAATTAAACACAAAATAGCCTCCTAACATCCAGCAGGGGTCAGGAGGAGGGCTTTCTGGCCTGTTTGAAACGGTGATGTCAAAACGAGCGTATGAGGTTTCACTTGAAAGGTATGAATTTATTGTCATGCAGCTGAAACGACCCCGTACACGTGGCTTGTTTCAGAGGTCAGATGTTCCACGTCACATCTGCTCTCCTGACAAAAGCACGGCTCACCTGCGTCTTACGGATCCTGAGGTCCGCTGATGATCTGTTGAGCCCCTCCTCCTGCTCGATGCTCTGCTCGATTGCTGCGGGAAAACAAACAGAGCGAGTTCAACGCTGAAGCAAAGCTGGCAACGCAACAGACGCGCCAACGGGAAACAACGAGGGCGAACGAGGACCGAACGCCTCGCTCAGAGTTCAGCAGGTTCACTGAGAAAACCGTTAAACAGCTTCAAACTAAGGTTATCATAGTGAACTTCAACCAAAGACTGAAAGCGAGTAATTCAATATAATAACAACACTGAATTACTGAAACCACCAAAACTCCAAACAGCAAACAGACATCTTTCATCCTTCCACCAGCGCAGCGGTTTGTGTCCAGTGTTTCTGCTAAATGTGTTTTGGCCTCTTTCAGAATTCATGCAGGAAACTGAAACTCGCTGCCTACGTTGAGCAGCAGGGAAACACATTTTTGAAAATGTTTTTTTTCCATATGACAAATGAAAGAATGGGACAGTAAACTGACGTTAAACAGCCTGTTCACCAACACTGCCCCCCTCATCCTCACCCTGCTTCATCGCCTCAGCGCTCGAATGAAGTTGAATAATGCAACACCAAAGAAGCTCCACAGGAACAACGTCGATGTGTCAAAATCAGGTCTGTTGTCATATATTCAGGCTGAAATCTGCTTTCTCGCTGCTCTGACCGTAAACGACGTGCATGATTTGTACAGCTGGTGTTAGAGATACTTTCTAATTCTCAAACATGACCTGTGTTTATAAAAGTCCAACTTCACAGATTAAAACCTTCATTACAATCCAGAAGCTGTGACAGCAGAGGTTGACTACATGGCGTCAAAAGCTCTGTTAAGTGTAACGATGTCAAACTGAAGCAGCCTGACTGCAGTGAACACAAACACTGTTGAACCTACAAACACTAAACCTTTGGCTGCAGTAACAGGAACCGACACGTTTCTCCTCGTCTGCTGTGAACATTTGTTTGTGTTACTTCAGCACAAACTCCGCAGTAGATTGATTTGATTTAGTTATTCGTCTTAGTTTCTCTTTATATTGGGTGATTATTGCCAATTCCTTAGTGGCTTTTTGCTCACAGCATGAGAACCGCTCCTGAAGTGTGGATTTTGTAATAAGCTTGTCAGCCTGAAGGGGGCGATGCAAAGACTAGAGCTGCAGATGAACTAATGCAAGGTCAGACAGACTGAGATCTGTGAGGAATGTAAAATGAAAAGAACGTCACAGCTGGACGTTACCTCAGTGCAGTGTGTGTGCATGCGTGGACACCATGGTAACCGGCTGCAGGTCTGTCCTGTGTCATGTGACTCTGATGTGAGTTTGTCTCTGGCATTTGATGAGCTGAAATGCTTACATAATGGTTTCCACTCAGTCACTGTTCTTGTTTTAGATACAATGTGGGGACCCATGTCTGTTGGGAACACTGTGGTAATGAAGATGATGAAATCTTATGCTAGGACCTGCTTTAAGTCTCCATGAAATTAATGCAAGTTGATATCTTGTAATGTGATAAAATCACGGTGTGTGTGTGCTTCCTGGCTCGTGGCCCAGCTGCTCGCTGCTGGATCCACAATGACTCAGCAGTATCACGTAGCACTGATGGTGTGTGTGCGCGGTGTTGGTGTGCATTTGTCTGTGTGACAGTGAGATGAAAACTCGGTGAGTAAGCAACAGCTTGTGGGTCCTCGTGTGATTGAGGACGACTTTAGCATCTTTAGCTTATTTAGAAAAAAACATGTTTGTTCTTACGTAAAAATCTGTTGCAGGACTATGAGCTTCATGCTGACCACGGTCCAGGAGCATGATGAAACAGAAAATCTGACATATTGATGAACACACTGATGATTGATGTTACTGAAACAGATAGAAATAGGAAGCAGAATGTCTAAAAAAAGGAGCTTCATCCCCAAACTTTGCTCTTCTTGGTAAAAGTCCAGCAGATGAGTGAATCTTTGAATGAGGGCTTTATCGCACACATCCTGACCGCTGACAACATCAAAAACATAATATCGACGCGTCACGCCAGAACACCTCGTGGCGTGGATGTGCTTGCCCCACCTCTGTAAGCTGCTATGCAACTGCAGCCGGGCTTATTTCAGATGTTATTCAGGGGTACTGTCTCTTTAAAAACTGGACAGTTTCACAGTCTGAACCCACAGTCGCTCAGACACGGAGACAAAGACTTTTTAAGAACACAAATCTGCTGTGGGCAGAGCCTGTCTGTACCCATCCCTCAAACACCCCCCGAGGATGACAGATCTACAGTAGGACCTGCTGCAGTGTGTGTGTTTATAAAAACACTCGTAGCCTCGCAGGGGTTCCAGTTATAGCTTTATCTCCAGCATCAGCGCTATTCTCAGACCGCACATGTCGTCTGTGTGTTTTCACACACACATCGTTCTGGTGTGTGTGTGAGTGTGTTTCATCCTCAGGGTGTTCATATTAAAGCGGTGATGTCCTTGAACCTTCAGCATGAACTGACTCAGTAGCTTTAAGCTCGCCTGCGAGTGCGTGTGTTGCTGTACCAACGACTGCTGCTCGATATACCGCCACGCCTGTTTCTGAACATTGTCTTCTTTTGCTGAAGGTCAACAGAAAACACCGTAAACCCTCCAATAAAGCTGGACTCACATTAAAACGTCACGGGTGTAGGAATGGCGGCCCCATGAGGCGTGGCCTCCTGTGTCACCTGTTCACAGGTGAATTATTTGCTGTGAATGTCACAAAGAACTGGTCACATGTTTCACACAGGTGAGAACAAGAGAGGGGCTTTCAGAGGTCAGTGTCCAAAATATTAGGAACACACAAATAGACCAAAGATCCCGAGCGTACGACTGACTCTAAAAGTTATACTTACGTGACATCACCACTTCTGGATCGATTGTGAGCCAGCTTGGCTGTGGATCAGGGGGCGGGACAACGGCAAGCTTTACATCCTCTGACACGCGTCATTGACAGGTAATTTAAGGACCCTACTCCTCATTTCTACCTCCATCTGCATGTTCTTGGACTCTTTGATATAGCTGCTTTGCATGAATCCGTTCAGAATAATCCTTCTTTACCTTGTTCTGGGTCTTTATTTACACTTGTAAACTATCCTGCTTTTAATTGAAGAGTTTTACAGCAACCAGCAAAACTCAAACGTTCACAGACGCTGAAAATCACCTGCAAGCTGCGCGCTGAGCTCGTGTTTGACTCTGTGCTGAAACAAGCTGCTCACAGCGCACCGAAATAAGCTCTCAGGCTGCAGCACGAAGTCCTGCCTCTTCAAACAGCAGCAGGAAACGGATTCATGCTGCTGGGATGGGACAGGAATATAAATACACTCGTCCTTCAGAGATTTCCCTGAGAACCCAAACTGACTTACAGCGAGTAATGTGAACTTCTAGAGCCTCGCAGTAGATCCTGTAAAGTAATTAAAGAATGCGTCGTGAATTCACTCGGCGCTGTCTGCAGCAGGACGTCGATATAAATGGGTTTGGATACGAGCGTCTCCGCTCTGTCTGAGAAGATGCTTCCTCATCAGAGCTCCTCGCCTGCACCGTGATGTTTCCTGCAGCAGCGCCAGGACGTACCTTTTAATTTTGAGCGAACTTTATTGGCTGTCTTCTTGATGTCAGCTGTGAGGTCCTCCAACTCCTGCTTGGTCTCTGCAAAGAAAAGAACCAACACAGTGAGTTTGTGATGCCAACAGCAGAGATCTGAAGCTAAAGCTGAAACAGTCTCACTCGTTAAGGCTAAAGCTTTTTTCTGATTGGCTGCAAAAAGTTTGAAGAGCGGGTGGGCGGGCTTTGTGGTCCTCTCTGACATCATAAAGATCCAACACTGTGAGCCTGTTTCCTGTCGGTGTCAGCTGCCAGCACCTGGTGTACAGGTGTTCCTGACTCAGATCTGGCCCTAACACAATAAAACGGTTGTTCTGGGTTATCATCAGGTTTTTATTATTCCTCATATTTGACGAGCTGCTATTTGTGAAACGATCATGAAAAATTATTCACGTTTGATCTCTTCAGGAAGCTTCCGGAACGCCAGAGAAAGACAAACATCTGTATTTCCCTTCATGGTTAATTTAGTTTATATTTCATATTTGATCATTTGTATTCTCTAGGATCGATCGGGTGTTTCACCATCACGAGACCTCTGCTGGATCTGACGAGGTTAAAAACAAACTGGTGTTCTGAGAGCAGCCTCTTCAAACTCCACCTGACCTCCACCTCTTCCCTTCAAACTCCCAGCGACGAGTCGGAGTTGAATTCAGAGGCTCTGATTGGCTGTTAGCTGTTTTTGCTAAGCAGCTCTTGGTTTTGTGTAGAAGCTGAGCTGTCGTGTTTGCCTCCCCCTTCACTGCTGGTGTATCGAGGCTTCCACTAAGAGTCCAATCAGGTCGATGCACGCAGTCGTGTAAGCGCTGAGCCTGGAGGAAGCAGACGAGCAGGAGGGCGTGCAGAAACATCACATCCTGTCAGCCATGATGGAGGACAGCGGAGGCAGCAGGCGCCAACTGCAGCTGCGCGCTGAGATTTACAAGCGCTGCAGCGCCGCTTGGCCTTTCCCGCCACTGACTCGCTTCACTCCTGCAGCTCTCATTAGCATGTCATGCTAAAGCTAGGGAACAGTCTGCGAGTGGGACTCGAACGTCAGCACATCCATGCCTGCAGAGGCTGCACACAGCTCAGTTTAGCCCACTGATGACCTTTTTCCACTCATTTCTGACGAGTCAGCGACTTTTTTAAAACTGCTGGTAAAGAAAAGACGTGACGCTGTAGCGGCGGCCTCAGCGAGGTCCTCTCCACGTGTGACGGTTAAACACTGACTTTACTTTTCTGTGCGGCGAGCCTGTGTCTTGAGCTGATCATAATCACTCATTTTCTGCCCCTTTGTGGTCGTCGGCCATGTTATAGACTTACAGGAAGTTGGTCTCCAACGTGACCTGAAGCTTCATCGGTTTCTTTTTATATCAAAAATCTTTCTTTACACTTTCAGGTACTTTTATTCTGAAAATCAGGACAAATTCCTACAGAATCGAGATCACAATACGTCGGTCCGATATGACGAAACGAGTGATGCCGAATTTCAACGTGTTACCATAACAACAGGAAGTTGTTGTACCTCCAGTACGCCTGAACGCAGGTGCCTCCATTTTGACTCCACAGGCTGTACATAAAAGATGGAAGTGCCCACAGTACTCTTGGGCTATGGAGGCGTGACGACGGAGGGACTGTGGATCCGTGCGGCAGCGACCCGTCAGCCACACAGAAAATCCTACTTCCTGCTCCTTCCTGATGCTGATGACGCCCAAAACAAACGTCACGTTTTATTCAGGGAGACCTGAAACCAGCGACTGAGACCACGAGCTAGTCAAGGTCACCGGTTTGTTCCTCTTCCTGTCAGGCGACGACGACGAGCGTTGGACGGATATCGGTCTGCGACGAACGAGGCCGAGCGGGGTGTTTATGAATGGGCTGTACTCCTCTGCTCTCACTACAATTCCCATCATGCATTATTCAGGCAGAAACACAGGAATGCATTTTGCATGACGGCCTGTCGGCAGCTGAGCGCGAGCTGACCCAGAACTGAGGGGGAGAAGAAGACAGAAAGCGACATGATTTCACCAGAAGGAGAAGAAGAGTCGGAGGTCAGACGAACACGAAGTGACGCTTAAAGACATCAGAGATCCCGTCTGAGCTCCAGAACCTCAGCCGCTGTCTGTACTGCAGACGTCACCGAACATCCTTTAACATTCGATCTGCTGTAGGGTTTAAAGAAGAACGTCAACGCTCTGCTTTCATGTAACCTAAAATACTTGGAGACCGTGTGGCTGCGCTCGTGTTTTAACTCTGCTTAATGTTCCTCGCCGTAAACATGTAAAGCATCACTAACATTCAGGATCCCTGTGATGTCACACGGTCATTCGCTTGCTCTGGAAACTCTGGAAACGTTCAGATTTGTTTCCGGGTTTAGTTTTGAGGAGTTTGGGACCCAGCAGATATCAGGGGTCAATAGTTATGATGCAGCAATGATTCTGCGTCGTGTAGCGTCCGTGTGCTGGGAAGAAGTCTTCAGTTAACCAGGTTTAAACTCAGATTTGTGGATTATAAAAGTCTCACAAACTCCCAGCATGCATCTGAGAGTAGCTCTGCAGCGAGGGCGCGTTTGGTCGGGGTCACCCTGTAGACGCAGCGTTTCTTCGTTAGCCCGTATCGGCGTGTAACAGCACTGACTCTCAGGTAGAGCTGCGCCCACCCGTTCCCCTTCGGTCATTTTCCTGCACAGCTCACGCCGACCGAAGGGTTTCACATGTCACCGCACACTCACAGCGTTACACACACTTACGGCGAGGCAGCCGAGGCTCGTCATCTCCTCCGAGGTTAACGTCACTTCATGCAGTTTAAACAGACTTCACAGCATGAGGGCGGGGATCAGAGGGAGCGACGGCGACGAAGGAGACGAAGACAGCGAGAGAGAGGGAGGAGAGGGTGGAGGAAAGGAAAAAGGAAAGGATGGAAAAACAGGAAAAGAACTTAAATCATGCAGCAACAAAAGAGAAAAACAGCGTGCAGACAGTCGGACAGCATGCAGAGCAAACAGAAAAGGTGCAAACATGAAGCCGCATCCTGTTCTTCAAACAGACACAGAAGGTTATAAATCATCTCCTCACGCGGCTAAACAGGAGCGGGCGGCGTGCGGGCGCTACGAGGTCACAGCAGGTGGGTCCAGCTGATGACTTACAGTCAGCTGTTCACAGTCAGCTGTTCGACACTAAAACGAGCTGCAGCACAAAGTCGCCGTTCAGCGCCTGTTTACGTTTCCTGCTGCTAGAACTTCCTCAGAGGCTCATTTTGCTCATGCACGCCATTAACCAGCATCAACTCCACATTTCATAAACCCAGGCAGTTTGCTCGTGCACGGAGACAGAAATGTCTCTGGACCTCTTCGACACCGAAGGAAACCTGACAGCAGGCGGCTTCTGTCAGGAGGATTTCAGGGGTAAAAGGCGTGGACGGCGTCTCGCCAACGAAGAGCTAAAAAGGGTCGAAGCCCGACGCGGAGCGGAACCCCTGAGGCGGAGACTCTGACGGCGCAGACGTGGCTGTCGGTGTCAGCGCTGACATTGAGTCATTGTTGCTGAGTCACAGCACGCCGTGTCGAGATTGGGACTCGCCAGGCCTCGTGCTCTCAGACCGGAGACGCTCTTATCGTCCCCCCACAGTGTCAGGACGAGCGGCGGAGCAACGGATGGGCGTGCTCAGTGGCGGTTTGCCAGCAGCGAGCTGCAGCATTCGTCAGCCAGCAGTTAACGGGATTAGAGGTCACTCTGAGGTCGGGGGTCGAGTTACTGAAGGGTTCTGACACGTGGACAGCGTTTGGAGAGCGCCCGCCGATCGACCAGCACAACCTCACACAGCTGCTGTGGCGGAGGGATACGCTGTGACGCTGCTCTTCATACCTCCTTACTTTTAACCAGTTCACGGTTCAGTCGCCTTCGTTTCTTTTATGATTTTTGAAGCTAATTTCTGACTTTTTTTTAGCAACTTCACAAAAATGAAAGTCGCCACAGCTCGGTGTTAAACTCTCGTTTGTAGCGACCATGGTAACATCACCCGAATCGTTTCTGTCCGAGCTCCTTAGATAACAGACTCCTACAGAACCGCAGATATCGCCACCTGCTGGTCACTGCATTAGTTGTACTCTGCGGCGATGGAGTCGGAAAGAAGCTGAAACTGAGACGTTTGCGAGACGTCGCGGCGGCTCCGTGAGGCTGCCTGAGGGTCTTACTTTCGTCAGGATTGGGTGCGGCCAGGATGGCGCTGTGCTGCTTCTTGACCTGCTCCACGTCCTCCGACAGCTTTTCTATACAGCCTCGGATCTCCTCCACCTGAACCAAAAACACACAAGAACAAAATCAGTCTTCAAACACGACATTTATTTCCCATCATGAACTGGTTTTAGGGCCTCAGTCAGTGATAACATTAAACCTGATCACAGCTTGTTTAAGCCAAGCTTTAGTTTTTTACAGCTTCTGTATGGGCTCGAAATGTGGTCATAAATATTTTGTACTTGTAAATCAGGATTTGTGTGTGTAAAAAAAATTTGTGTGTGGACTTAGCCAAAAAAATCCTGCAAGTTACAAGTACGAATTTTGACCCTATTTTTCTTCCTTTCATCTGATTGGTCAATGTCATGTCAATCACAAATGTAACAATCCAATCAGAGAACAGATGGGTTTTGCTGTCGGAGGGGCGCTTTTTTTGAACTGCAGGTCCTTGAAGGGTGATACAGTTTGAAGCTGGAGGATCTCTATATAAATATCCGATAGCAGCTAGGTCCCCTAACTTTCAGCAGCTGTTGAAAGGATAAAGTTGTGGTATATCAGTGGTTAGAAACACCATTATTACTTTAGGATTAGTTTAACACAAAGTCAGGGCTGACCCAGGACCATTGCTGTGAGTCACAGTGCGCAGCATAAAAGTCCTTTCACATCGGACGCAGAATGTGCTGCTAATGCTAACTGCTAACTAAAAGCCAAGGATCCAGAATTTGCTGCTGGCTGCTGGGCTCTGTGGGTTTTTGCAGCAGCTCTACCTGCACTAGATGCACCTGCTCCTTGTCGTTTCTATCTCTGACTTTATGTGAACTACAAGAGTTTGTTTTTGCTGGTTCTTCAAATGTTCAATAAAAACATGTATGCTAATTCATAACGAAGAAAGCTTTGTAATGAAGACTGTCATTTCCAAAACACTGCCCGCCCCCACCCCGCGGTCCGCAGCGCTGGTGAAAAGGCTGTGGAAGTCCCTGTATTAAACACGTAGACCTGTGACACAAAAATCACCGAACTCGGACGACCACAGACTGTTTTCCTTCGTGGTGATGAAGGAAAACGCTGGGTTGGCATGTAAAAGAGCATTTATTCCCTTCAAGGACCTGCAGTTCAAAAAAAAGTGCCCCTCGACAGCCAAACCCATCTGTTCTCTGATTGGATTGTTACATTTGTGATTGACATGACATTGACCAATCAGATGAAAGGAAGAAAAATAGGGTCAAAATTCGTACTTGTAACTTGCAGGATTTTTTTCTAAGTCCACACACAAATCTTTTTTACACATACAAATCCTGATTTACAAGTACAAAAAGTTTATGACCACATTTTGAGCCCATACTTCTGTCGCCTGTTTCTGATGTTTTGAAGATGTTTTATGAGTTTTCGCTCACTTGATGTTTTCATGTTGATGTTTATGTTCTTCTACTCTGGGACGTCCTAATGTCCATTAACCTTTTAAGGGTGCACGCTCTGATTCGTGCAACCATTTTAAATCCTGGTAGAATTTCAACCACTTAAGCTAGCGCAATAATTTAGTTTGCATATGAAACTCAGCTCGACCCAGGTCGCGGTTCCTGTCTGCCGCACAGGTCCAAAGGTTTACTTTGTGCCTGTGTGCTTTCACTGTTGGAAACAGTTTATTTTGATGCGGTTTTTGTAAATTGTGAACAATAATATTTATATTTGTTTTTCCTGCAGTTTGTAAAAATTCTTGAATCTCAAAAATGAAACTATGAAGACACTCAGAATAAATTTCCTGTGGTTGAAACGATTTTGTGCAACTTTGCATTCTGAGGGATGAAGCTCGAAATATGTGTAAAAAAACAGAAACGACTTTTATTTTCTTGTTGTTTAATGTATTTCGTTATTATGAACTTAATGCAAACATGTCATTAAAACTTGGCGCATATTGATGTAAAGCAACTTGAAATGCTCCAAACAACGTCACTACAGCAGGTAAAGATATGAAGCTACGCTCGGGCAGACTTGGTTCTACGGTGGGCTTTAAAGGTTAATGTGATTTTGCACATCATTACTTCTTTGTCTGCTTTTGCTGATATTTTTCAACGTGCTGATGGCGTGCAGCCTGAATCCTGAGCTCGCTCCATCGCAGCCAAAACATTTTTATTTCTGTGTTTTCGGTCACGTCTGCCTCAGGACACCTTTGTGTCTTTGTTTCGGTGCAAACAGCGACCTCTGAGTAATCGTTTGTCTCAGACTGAACAGTCCCAGTGTTCCCAGCTGCTGTTTACGACCCTCACAGTGTCCAGTTCATGATTTAACCCAGTGGTCACATGACTGCCTGCAGTCACCTGAGCGCGCTGCCTCACCTGTTCGAAGAACTCGTCCATGAAGTGGTCCCTGTCCACCTGCACCACCTCCTCATCGTCGTCGCTGTCCTTTGCCTGCAGACAGGAAACATGATGTCATCGGTGTGGTGATGATGCTTCAGTGATGAAGACTGACGCTGAGGCCCACAGACGGACACACAGAGGGAAACCGCTCCGTAAAAGCAAACAGGAGGTTTCCAAGCAACCGCAGCAGGGCATCACCACGCCAACGACCGAGAAAGTAATTTTCAGTTTATTTAAATATGACATTATTGTTAAATAAAATTGAAAAATGATATAATATTTAAAGAAATAATGAAATAAAAATGTAAAGACATCAAATAAAAAATATTAAAATAAATTGAATACGACAAATATGACATATTATTGCTTCAAATAAATAAATTTAAAATTAAATAATAAATCAGCATTTTAATGAAGAAAGAGAAGGAACAACATTTAAAAATAAAGTAAATACACAAACATGTTAAAACGAAATTAAATAAAATATTAAGAAAATTAAAGAAAAACGAACACAGGGGAATAAAAAGACAGAAAAATTAATAATATTATTGAAATAGTCCAGGATGAAGATGACGATGATGGAGTTGTTTCACAGACGAACGCAGGAACATTTTATTAAACTCAGATGTTCTCCTTAGAGGAGAGAGGGACAGGTGCTTCAGGCTGAAACAGGTGTTCAGTTACACTGAATGGAATTCTGTTATTATCAATACAGACGTGTGTGTGTGTGTGTGTGTGTGTGTGTGTGTGTGTGTGTGTGTGTGTGTGTGTGTGTGTGTGTGTGTGTGTCCGCCGACCGCAGACGACAAAAAGCACAATCCCTGATGTTCAGTAAACTCTCTGCAGATACCCGACACACAGGCAGGTGGACAGGCTGAAGGCGGGATCAGGTTACTGTATCTATGAGGCCCATTCTTCACAATATGAAGCTCCGCCTCCATAAAACCATAAAAACTAAAGGAAGATAAAAGAAGTGAACTTTGTTTCTGTGTCAAATCTAAACCAGCACTCAGCACGTTGTTAAAGCTCCGTTAAACCCATCAAAACCTGCAGTTCCTCTGACGTCCAGCAGAGGCAGCAGCGAGTCTGTCCCTATAGACTGCCATGTTAAAATAAACGTGTTTATTTTAACATGGCATTTTTATTTTTATTTTTATTTTATTTATTTTATACGTGCAGAGATGGTGTCCCTCTGCACCCTCTGTCCTCCCCCTGCGTCACTCTGCCTCTGCAGAGGAGACTCAGTGTTTGGATTAATCAGTCCACAAACTCATTGATTACTAATGATCATGTTGTTCCAGTTTTAACTGCTGGGAAGAAGAAGAAGGTGTCACTAACATATCTATTTTTATGTTTTACAAACCAAACATTAAAGCCACTCGTCACACACGTTTCTGCCGGCACATGCCTGCCTTGAAGATGAGGCGTCACGTCTGCCTTTGCTTTCATCAGCACTGTGATTTATTTGTTTCTGCTGTAAACATGTCCTCTGAGTCCCACTCAGGTGTCTCCACCTGGCTCCGCCGCCCGCCCATAGAGGCCGTGGCAGCTTCCTCAGTCCATCCTGCCAACAGTTCTCACTGTGGGCGATGCTAATGATGTCAGCTAGCTGCAGGCCTGATACTCTCTCTCGCCTGAGCCAAAGACCCGATGCCACGGCATCAACACACACAGGAAACACACGCCGACACACCAGAGTGAGACAGGCGGACATCAGCATCGCTCTGTCCACGGACCTGAACGCTCCCAGTGTCAGGATAGACTATAGACTGTAAATAAAAGACAGACGTATCCACGATGTCACCCACTGGTTTGCAAAGGCTCATCTGGAAGCTTCAAGCCGAGTGATTCAAGCTGAACTGAAAAAGCCAGCGTTAAACCACATGATCGTAGAGTAGCCACGCCCACTCACAGGGTACCCCAACCCCCCTGTGACTGACATTTCCAAAATTAACTTAATGAGACAGCAGCTGCAGTGATGTAACACCTGACCAGGTAAAGGTGCTGAAGCTGTTTCAGACTCTCAGCGACACTGACATCACTGTCACGTCCCAGTGAAGTGCTGCTGAGGGCACAGGTCATGTTTCATTCACTCTTATTTCTTTAGCATCTTATACTGTCAGACCCTGAGGTAATACAGAGAAACCTAAACCATCATCACCCCCTGTGAGCAACAGTAGGAAGGAAAAACTCCCTTTTAACAGGAACCTGTGGCAGAAACAGGCTCAGGGAGGGGCGGGGCCATCTGCTGCGACCGGTTCAGGCTGAGGGGGAAGAGACAGGACGAGGACTCGCTGACGTGCTGACCAATCACGGCGCACTATGTTCTTCTTCCTTTAAAAACTGAGCTCTAACACCCTCGGTAGTCCCGCCTCCTGCAGAGCGGACAAAGAGGAAGGACTTCCTCCAACAGTTACTCGAACTCTGGCGTTGTGTTTAACGGTTTAAGAAGATGTAAGTGTGTCTGTTTGGGTCCAAGAACTTCCTGGAAGCTCTCACTTACTTTTAGATCATGCAGTTAAAATCGCTGATCATGGATTCCTGCAGCGTGTTAAACATGTTACTTTGTTCATATCTGATGTGAATTTATGGAGATGAGGCTACGAACTCATCGCAGCGTCTCATCGGTCACGTTTGGGGCCGTCCTCTGCGGTTTGTAAAGCCTGACGCTGTGCAGGAAAAAGGAAAAGCTTTAGATTGAACGTACGAGCGTCTGTTCGCGACCCGCACGGCGCCGACTCCATCCTGCAGATGGTTCGTTATTCCCGATCCCCCCGGCAAAAAACACACCACATGTCTGAAACTGGGTCGCTCTACTTCTTCAAGAAAAAAACCTACAGGAGGAAAAATAATAAAAATAATAACGTGAGCATCTGCAGGCAGAAACGAGTTCATTCATCGCTTCAGCGCCGAGCCGATCGACCAGGAGACGAATTTCTCCTGAGCTCCTCTCGCTGGTTCCTCCTGATAACGAGCCGCCGGCCTTCAGGGCGAATGTTGGACACGATGCACCAATTTCATGTTTTTAAAACCGGTAAACGTCGCTGTCATCCCGCCTACGGCTGCAGTAAGGTTGTTAAAATCACTGCATTCTTCACCGATTTAAAATCATCGGATCCTTCCAGCAACGAATTTCATCAGAACGGCTGCACTGCTCCGGTCCGGAACGACGGTTTCAGGTTTTCAGGTCCAGCTCAGGGTTCGGGTTGAGGGTCTGGGGATGTTCAGTACAAACATGTACGCGTGAGATGAGGTCCCTGAAGGCATCGCGGGCGCCTCCCTGTGGAAATCCTTAACAGAGGACGTGACAGCAGAGGACTCGCTGACCTTCAAACACACCCAGGAGATAGATGCCCCCCAGCCCCACCACACACACACAGCTAAGATCAAATCTGAAACAAAAAATACATAAAATACAAAATTTCACATTTTAAACTGGCTTTTTAAGTGTAAGGCCAATAATATAAATCAAGTTATTTAAATAAATCTTTTTCCAAATATGACCCCCCCCCCCACAAAAAAAATTCATACGTTTTATAAACTTTCTGAAATCTATCAAAGAAAATGATCCTGTAAGATTAAATATTTAATTCCAGCTTAAAAATATGTTTTATATAAAACTTCAGCCAGTCTGAAAACAGCTCCACCAGCAGCCAATCAGCATCATCCCTGCCTCCAAAACCAGCCAATCAGAGTCTGTTCCCTCGCTGCTGTTCCTCCACATCACCATCCAGTTTAGAAATGCACACACATAGAATGAGAGGTCAAAGGTCAGGGGCTGATGGAAGTCAATGGACAGAGTTTGATTAATAATCAGTGAAACGTTGTCAGCCTGCAGGTCTGCGTGTGACCCGGCCGTCAGAGGACGTGAAGGCCGTGACGGTAAACGCTGATCTGAGACCAGCAGGAAGAGGCAGGAGGTGCAACGCTGCGATGGCGGTATAAATGATGTAGCATCGCTCCTGCTCTTGTCCAGCAACTCTCAGACAGCCTGACGAGGGCGCTGCCTGTGCTGCACAGGTTGTTCCAGGAAATAGCCACAGCCGCACCTACACCGTCCCCTCTGGTGTCTGCACTGACTCAGCCGAGACAGAAACGACAGAGAGCAGATGATTGGAAGGTTGGGGGCGAGTGGGCGTGTTCTTACGTGTGTTCAGTCTGACATCACACAGACGCTAAAAACAACCAAACAACTAAAGCACCCACCCGTCTCTCACATGAGCCGATTAGCAGTTCCTGGTTTTCACTCATGGATGGGCACGGTGTTTGGTCACTGCTCAGGTGGGAGGAGCCATCATGTCCGTCTTTTATATACAGTCTGTGCTCCCCCCTCAGCAGGATATGTGGCTTCAGGGTGTTTCCACAGTTTAGCACGTGACGACCTGCAGGGCCCCGACGAGAGCGGCGCGGGGAGCTAAGGTGGGTCTTCGATGCCTTGAAACTGGAGCCTGTGAGTCAGGAAAATCCCACTGAGGGATCAGCGGTAAAATCTGGGTGAAGGAACCTTTTAATCAGATGAAATCCAGCGCTCGGTTTCTCTGCAGGGTCTCAGCTTTGAGTGTAACGAGGAGGCCGGCCCTGACTAATATCTGAACACTGTTACATAACAGCAGAGGCTGAGACACACTCGGCTGTTTTCTCCTTATCCAACCATCTGAGGAGGAGGAGGAGGAGGAGGAAGAGGCATCAGAGCACAGAGAGAGAAGAGAAAATCAGCGAAGAGGCCGAAGATCCTAAAAATAAAAAAACTGCACAAAATGCCGACCTTCACGTTTCGGTGTCGGCTCGGCTGCGATTGTGTTCTTTGGGTTTCCATGAGTTCATTTCATACAGGATTCTGTTTATTAGTTATTCATTACATAACATCCTGTTATGTCATAAACCTTAAATAAACACTGAAATGGACAAATGTGAAATATACACACACAAAAGCCAATATTTAAATAAAGCAGGCAGGCGACACACATCCGCATCAAACGAGATGTTTACGCAGCGTCGTTCATTTTTGAGTACGAACAGAAACAAGGTGGAATGAAGATGATGAAGAGGCA